ACAAGCTGCATCAACGTAGTCTGCTGAAGATCCTCCACGGACTTTCAAAATAAAAAAATGTGTTAACGCGCTATAAAATAATTGTCGGCGTCAATTAATGAATGCGTTAACGCGATAATAAGGCGTTAACTTGCCCAGCACTAATATATATATAAATAACTAAAGAAATAAACCTAAACCACACCTACTCACAACTAAATCCTACGGTCTAATCCTGTTTCTTTCCATGGAGGGACTTAGGACCCAGGGGAATGTAGGTGAAGGAAACAGGAAGTGACGGAACGGAAGACACGCCACACAAACAGCTGTTCACCGCTCGCTGGCCGGCCATTTATTTTCGGCTTTAATAAATTAATGCTTTAACGCGGAAATAAAAAAATACCGTGAAATATACCGTGAAACCGCCAGAATCTTACAAAATACCGTGATATGCATTTTTGGTCATACCGCCCAGCCCTACGGGTGACCCCAAACTTTTGAGTGGCAGTGTCTCTTTCTTCATTTGGGGTTCTAATTAGGAGAACATCTGTACACTGTGCAAGAGTTGTGTTCCAGCTAGACATCTCCAATGCTTCATGGAACTGAATTAGGGACACCTTTTAAATAAAAAAATGTATTTTAAAGAATTTTAAAAAGAATTTCTCCTAATAAAGAACAACGCCAACATGGGGGTAATTATTAAGGTTTGTCATTAAATGACAAAAACGAATCATTCTCATGTGTCAGTCTGCTGTATGTACTTCTTGGGAGCCTCTCACCTGGAAGTACTGTACAGCAGAGGAGTCCTCTGTTCTGTCACTGAAGACTGAGCGCTCATTGACGTGCCCACGACTGTTCTTCAGGAGGTTATAAAAGGACTGAAAGTCTGCAGCGGAACACAAACACACACGTATAAGAAGAACAATGATGCACTTTACACCGGACCCTACATTACACAACAGCATGCATACAGTCACAACAGTTATGTTGAATGTTTATGTTTGAACTTACGCGTGCAAAGGTTACTTCACTTCCTTTTCACTAAGCCCAACGTTAACAGTTTAGAGCAGTATAGAGTTTCAGATATTCATCATGTTTGAGTCACTTTATAGAAATACCAGAACACAAGCTAAAGTTATGTCTTTTTATTTGACTGTGGTGATGTACGGCATGTTTCTGTTGCTCTGTTTTAGATATTGGTTCAGGTCATCTACTCAATCAGGGATATTGAGAACAGCTTGTTTCATTACTTTGGCTTCATCAAGTCTGCGGCTGACCTTTGAACTTTTTTTCATGTTTGTATTTTCAAAGAGAAAAATATTTTTAGATGAGGATTAATTGAAGACAGCGTCTTGGGTAATGTTGCCTGGGTCGAAAACTTCCCAATTAAAGAGCTGCTAACATTAGCTTCTGATAGCATCCAGGACCAGTGAGAGAGGAAATACAACACAGTGGAAGTGGTTCTGTTTAAATGTAACCTGTAAACCCACAAACTAATGTAGTTAATACACTAAGTAGTGAATTACTTAGCAGGGCATACTAATGTTAGAGCAGATAAACCAAACATTTAATAATTTCTTTAAACAGATTTGCTCTTGATAAAAAAACAAGTAGTCCATATTATTTTTATACGGAGTGTCTCTGTTACTACAGCCCCAGAGATTCATACATTACAGTAGCACATGGTAAGTGTACCCAGTGTGTGGGAAGCACAGACTTACTGCTTACATAACGAACGTTGGCATGTTGGCTCTCTCTGGGGTTATAAACAGAGAAAACTAAACCAATCCACCATTTTCACACGGTGGCCATAGCTATGGAACTGTCTGACTAGTATCTGGGAGAGCGTGACACATGGCTGCCGTGTGAACATGGTGAATGTCATGCTGGAACGGGGGATTTGCAAACGGCTACTGAGAAACAGACATATATATACCTAAATTCTAATCACTACTTCAATAATTCACATTTGTTCAATATTTCCAATGTTTGGTTCGACAGAAAAATACTTCCTTTACTGGCAGTATTTTTGACCTAAAATCATGATGTTTCCACATTTTGGCTCATATATATGGTGTGTGTGTGTGTGTGTGAGAGACGGATGTACAGCGTGCAACAGCCATATTGTATTTGGCCGTGTGTGTGTGTGTGTGTGTGTGTACCTGCAGGTGAGGAGAACTGCAGCAGGACGCTGTTGCAGCCCAGTGTGATGATGAATGACTGCTTCCCCACGCGGCTGCACTCCGTCTCCCTGGAAACCGAACACTTGAACACACTCGCCTCCTCTCCTGGACAGAAAAAGAACAGAAAAAGTTAGGACAATAAGACATACTGGCCTACAGCCACTGAAAATAAAACCTGTGTGGCGAATACTGCTGGAAATTTACGTGTATTTATACATCTTTAAAGTCAACGATGGCTCTGGAGGTGACGTTTGGCTGCCTCAGTAATACAGAGCACTGAAGACGAGCTGTAAGAGTCTGAGTCACATCGGCACTGATTTGACAGCCTGCATGTTCAGCTTAAAGAACATGCTTTGATTTGTATTTTCATTTTGTGTGACGTCTAAAGAGTTTTCTTGCTGCGAGGCACATGTTAGGCCTGACATTTCCATTTCAGATTCAACCCAACCAGCTCCTGTGTGGGAGAGCTGAATGAAATGCACCTCCAGCCTCTTTATCTCCCTCCGCCGCTCTCACACTGTGGAGGACTATGCACGAATGATGAAATTTGGTCCTTTTTTTAAAGAGCTTGAAAAATATAAAATAAAAATACATTTATATATTTCTACAATGTGTCGACACGAGACAGAATGCGTACAACCAAAATACCCAGCTGGCTCTCTGTACGTTTGTAATAGTCAACGAATCCCAGAACAACATCTAAGACCAAAAGTGTTTGTCCATCTCTCAATACTCTCCGGCTTCTTTACTCAGTCTGGTCCCACTGAAGATGGAAATCCACAATAAAAGCCCCAGAAATATAAAAGTGTCTTAAGGCTCAGTCATTCGCTGTAGTTTTTACTCAAACAAGAAGAAGCAATGGCGTTTGTTGAGGACTATTTTCAGCTGCGTATTAAGCCACATTTGGTGCTCCAGTGAGTGTTTGTGGCAGCAGAACGATGTATGTGGGATTGAGTCAAAAGGAACTAGTGTGTGTGCGTTTATGATAATGAAGGAACATGTCACCCAGTGAGACAATGTGGCTCACTGACGTGTTCTTAATAGTTGTTGACAACACAAAATGAAGCCAAAGCGATTGCGATGCATGTTTTCAACCATATAGCTTTTCTTTTGCCACAGTCGATACTCGCTGTGTGTGTGTGTGTGTGTGTGTGTGTGCGCGCGTGCGTTTGCATCCATTTCCACTTTAGGATAGAAACCTGTGAGAGATACTAAAGCTGCTGTCACCACCATGACTCTTCTGGTTAAAATGCATGCTACAAGAGTTATCTTTTTATTTTTAAATCCCATATCATTTGTCAACCCCGTGTTGCGAGATCGGCTTAATAAAGACGACCTGAATAATGCACTGCACTGGTGGAGAAGCGCACACCTCCCGAGATAGAACAAGGATGAACAAACATTTGATGGGATAATCACTCTCTTGAACTAAAACTGGAAAGATGGATGATGATGAATGAACACCTCTCAGAACTCCTTCTGTGCGGCCCTGTGCCAATACGTCTCCAGGCTGTGTGAGCCTCGTCGTCGCGCAGCAGGCCCGACACAGATGCACAGAGAAGCCTGAGCTAATCCAGCGCCTGTTGAGGGATTAAGTGCAGCACTTCAGATTAAGAGAGAAGCATCCTCAGAGTTCTCCTGCGCCAAACCAACCACGTCCGCCATCGACCACGTGACAAGACAGCTCGTAACAACGTGAGAAAACGTCTAACTCGATACAAACGGGATCCAGGACTACGTACCGGCAGGTGATTCATTTTGATAATTGGATGTTAATGGTGCCCATGTTCCCCAAATACATATCTGATCTCATCAAACAAGAGCCAGGAATGAGTTGGCAGAACTCCAGCTGAGGATCACTTTCCTTCACTACTTTTACCTTCATCACCATGAAGCAAGATTACTAAACTAACAAAAACTGACATCAATAAAGCTGTGGAAGGAATCGAAGGACAGAGGGCTGATGTCAAATATACACACTTTTAAATGAGTTGTTTTACTATCAAAATGTTTTATTCTCATTATTATCATTCTTCCCATAAAAGATGACATCATCTGGGTTATTTTTTTCACATAAGACAAAAACATTCTACAACTGTCTTCCCATGGCGAGTAGAACTCACCGAGGCAGTTCAGCTGACCTACATGTGTCAAATCTGTGGACTTCCTCTTTGATGACTCTGCAGGATATAAATAGATAGTAGATCCGGTTCTGATGAAAACACCTCCCCTCACTTCTGCAATGCAGTGAACCCTGACCTAATGAGTTGGTGCATGTTTGAAGAGGGTAATCTGAATATTTCTAATAAAAAGGTAATGAACTAAAAGATGTATCATCATCATCAACTACAACGTCTCCTTCAAACAACTGTATTTATTAAAGTTTCTCCCCAAAAAACGACAATTTACAAGATTACATGTGAACATACATTGACGTTAAAGCCAGAATGCATCATGTTGTAACTGAATGGAGCCTCAGTACGTTATACGCACATCTACACCACTTGCAGTCTCTTTTGATATCCATCTCCTAACAACTCCCTGATCTTTTTCTATTTCCCAAAATACTCCCACGCTGCAGATTTAAGGCACGTTTTGGCAGGTATGAGGCTGGACTGTCGGTTCCCTTACAGATCTCCTTTTCAACACACCGCAACTCTCACACACAGAACAAACAGGTGCCGTACGTCTTAAGTTACTCGCGAGATTGGTTTTCACAGCGATACAACACAGGAATCAGGACACCATAGATATCGCAGCTTCTACGGTTCTAACTTTACTAATCTTACTGTAGAATGTAGAACACATCCAGTTCAACTGCAACAGTCGTGACAGGATGTTTACACGTGCAAACAGCTGCTCACCTCACATTAGTGCTGGGCGGTACACCGGTTTTAAATTCCCGTATGATATGAATTTTTCACACACCGTCATACCCGAAACAACTGCTGTCACTCTTCAACAGGCAGCTAAATATGTTGTTCGCCGCTAAGAGCGCTATAGTCGGAGCTAGTTACCTTAAGTGTATTGAGAGGGACCTCTAATCATGGTTATAACTTTATAACACAACAATTAATAACCCACAACTAACGCTCTTTAACATGGCAAAACACCACAACGGTTTGTGACAAATAAACAATTTGTAACACTAATAATTGTACATTTATAAAATTACACCGCCGAACGGCATGCTGGGTACAGCTCGCTAGCACAACAGTCTGCTAACAGCTTGGAGAGGCTCCGTCGCTACAGTGTCGTTACATTAACGAACAGAATAGGCCGATGCAGGATGAATAAAGACAGACCGGAGATGCACCGATAGAGTCTGTGCCCAAAAGAGGAGCTGGGTCTGCTGTTTGGAAGTGTTCTGGTTTTAAAAAATCCGACGTTTTGCGAGTGTCTCGAGCCACTGTTGTTGCGCTGGTGGTAACACGAGCAACTTACTCCATCACCTCAGCAGAAAACATGTGTTGTAATACCAAGAGTGTGATGACGGCAGTCAACCAGTAACGTTAGCGCGAGTGAAACAGTGAAGCTAAAGGGTCAGACATCGCTTGAAGAGGCATTTGCTCGAGGCAGCATATGACAAGAAAAGCAAGCGGTGGAGCGACATTACGAACGCAATAACGATCCAGCTATGCAAGGACATGGTCCCGCTACAGACAGTCGAGAAAGACGGGCTCAGAGCAATGATTTAAACACTGGATTCAAGGTATGTCTTACCGGGGTGACAATACTTCAGCCAAACTGCTATCCTAACATTATACTTTATACATGATGACATTAAAAAATTGTATATTCTATGTACTCCTAACAGTAGAGTAAGCCATTATAAAACTATATAAAAACAGTCAAGAAAAAAAAAATACCGTGATATACCGTAAAACCGCCAGAATCTTAAAAAATACCGTGATACACATATTTGGTCATACCGCCCAGCACTACCTCACATTTTAAAAATCTATAAGAACATTCTCTTGCATCCAACTGTTATTACATCCATTATATTAACTCTTGCCATGTGTATTAGGTAGAGATGCACTCATTGGCCATTTCTGATTTTTAAAAGTCTGACCAACTAATTCTGATTTCTGCCGATTCCCTTTCTAATAACAATAAAAGACTACAAGGCTCCAGAACAACTTGTTTTACAACCGTCCAACCTTACATAAATTATTCTGGTTTTGCTTTGAGTATCGTTAAGCTATTTATTCATGACTTTTTACTTTGAACGTGTTTATTTTGGATTTTTTTACCTCATCCAAGAACCAGTTACACTTACAGTTAACCTGTTCACATTTCTAGCTTTGTGTACATTCGGTTTTTGCACCTTACTGATAATGTTTATTGTTTATAGTTTGTGTATTTGCACTCTTTCCTACTTTGTACTAACCAGACGGTTTGTTACACAGAATAATCTGAGACGTTGACTTTGAAAAAAAGGGCAGGCACTTATATAACTAACGTTATTGCAGCATCACTGCTAACCTCTTTAGGAGCCGCCATTGTCTCTACATCACACCTAAACCACGCCGGAGCTGCCAGTGATCCTCACACACGCTGAGTGGTAGCTCGGACACAAACGCATTGCTTGAAGCCTGACGAGATGGATTTGTGTGAGATCTTGTGATATCGCACCAATCTAGCTGCAACTGCTGCACAATAATTTCCCTCGGGATAAATAAAAGTTCTATCCAATCTTACGCTTTGTTAACCTAAACTAAACATCCTGCACCTATTAACATCAACACTCTCCTCCTCCTAAACTTCACCTTGGCATAAAAAAGTAGCCAGTTGGACATAATCGACAAATTGATGCAGCAGAACCTGCGATGTAGTCTTTTTATTCAGCACATTTTCCTCCTTGCCTATGTTACCCACAATGCATCTCAACAGTTGGGTCAGGGATTCTGATGTGTTATGCTGTGGGGCTGCAGAGGTCTGGTAAGATCACTTCTCAGGGTAAGATCACTTCTTTCTAACTGCACACCTCCAGATTTCTTTTTACTTTTTAAACTTGTAGTCTTCAGACCCAACCTAGTTAACTGAAGTGACATCACTTAAGGGACATTTATCAGACTTCACGGAGTTCCCTCTGGAGACACCAAAGGTTTCATTCTACTTTTAGGAGTTTCAAGGATTTGTTTGTTGTGCGTTTCCTCTCCAGAAATAGAATGACAGACATGTAACTCAGAGGCTTCTTTACACAGATGACAGTAACAGACACATGGTGGCTTTAAATGGCGAATAACGGTGTTTGCCCATCTTATGCATTATTTTTACTTTTAAATGATTAAATGTGTATGTTTTCTACGACCTATATTCCCACACGCGTAGTTTTAACTTCATGTTTTAATGTGTGCTGCCGGAGATGCGTGGGGCCAATTGTCTCAGCGCCATACAAAGTCGATGCGGAGATCCTCCAAAGGTCTACAAATTAACGTCGGTGTGCTTTTCTTTAACTTCAGCATTTGCAGCAGGGGGGGGCTGCGCAGCTGTTACTTTTCAGCGGGACATGCCATTGAATGAGAAAAGCTGCGGAGGGCTGAAGCGTCCCTGACGCTGCCTCCACGCAGGAGGCAAAGTAGCCGGCTATTGTTCCAATGAGAACAAAGATGAATGTATAAGTAATGAGGGCCCGGTGTCTCTACGCCTCTCAAAACGACAAGACCGCTTTAAGCAACAAAAAAAAAAAGTAAAAGCGTTCATAAGTTTGTATGTTTACAGCTCTATTACGGAGCTAAATGCAGCGTCAGCCGACCGGACCGCGACGCACGGCGGCGGGTACCGAGTGATGCCCTCTGGTCCAAACAAGCTAGTTAATTCACAACCTAGAAAACTGCCGAATAACATCACCTGGGTCTCTCAAGCACAATATGGAACAGCTGAATTCATATTAGTTATGCGACTAAATAAACGTTCGAGAGACATCAAGGGCAAAATACGTTAGATGCTAGCAGTTCGGATGCACGTTAGCTCCTCATTGCCGAACCCGTGCTAGTGGCATTGTTTAGCTAGCATTAAACTACACACAATTTAGCTGCGCTGCTTACTGGTGGGACTAACTAAACTGCGCTGTATGCGCTAATTTTTGTCGAGGTCTCCAACGCGGTGAACTTGTGTGGGAGCTCAGAGCTCAATGTTTGCAAACAACAAGACTCCCTCGGACGAGGAACATTTTTGGAGTTTTAAGGGTTCCCTCGTGATAGGTAGGGGGAGGCGACGTTAGCTTCTTGGTGGCTAAAGCTACGTATGGCCGGATTAGCCGTGAGCATTAGCACTGCATAGCATTAGCACTGGCAGTTAGGACAGGCCGAACATCCGAGGAGCATCTGCGGGAAAGGGTCAACTCACCATTGGAGAGATTGATGAGAGCAGCATCGTGAGTGCTCTTGACTTCTAGCCGCAGGGGCTGCTGCTCTGAATGTCGCTGTATGTCTCCATTCACGTCTCCAATGGAGAGGAGCCGCACACCGGGGAACACCGAGACCGCCATCTTCGATCTGGAAGTAGAGACAGGTCGGTGACGCTCACATCCAACCACGCACTGCTCTCTGCTGGAGGCAGGCCGGGCATCAACGTGAGAAGGCCCCCAGCAGCGCCACCTGGCGGCTCAAAGTGGGTACTGTGTAAACACAGGCAGCATACGTCATGACTTCCTGCAATCCACGAGCTCTCAAATGTTTTAATTTTACCCAAGACTTGAAATAAATTAAAATTTAAGAAAATCTTATAATAAAAAAAAAAAATATATATATACAGAATACGTATATATGTACAGAAGACATGAAATAATACATTGAAATAAATAAGTAATTGAAATAATATACATATATATTTTGAAAACTCCTAATCTTTATCAACGAATTAGAAGAATATCCATAAATACTATAAGTGTATATCATAGCCACCTTATGCATGTATGTATGTATATACAGCGGGTAAAATAAGTATTGAACACGTCACTTTTTCTCAGTAAATATATTTCTGATGCAAGCAAAGCTGTACGTAGCTAATCATAACATACTGTATAAGAGTCATAGCATGACACTTGCTGATTTCTTTATATTGCATTATTTAAATTCGGTTTAGATCAAATATCTTACTTACTCTCAAGTCTCATTCGTGATGTTTACACTACTTGCATATTTATTTATTCTTTATTCCACTCATTGATTTAGTCAACAAGTATGCCGATATGTTTCTACGACAGCAGATAGAAGCATCTTGGAAAACAGAGCGCTGAAAGGTCTTGAAATTCTAAATAAAAACATGATTTATGTGATTTTATTTTACCAGGGGAAAAAAACAGATGCAAAATTGATGCCATGGTTACTTTTAATGGTGAATAATAATAAAACATCTGATGGTTAATAGAATCCTTTTGAATTATGAACACTCTGTTGGTGTTAAACACCCAATTTTAAAGTACGAAAGAAAAAAACAAACATGTAATCCAATTTTTTTATTTGCTTTGGGTGACATTCATAAATAAGTAAATAAATAAATCAGATAGGAATTTGACTTTCATAGTCACTTTTATCCAATAACCAATGAAAAAAAAAAGTGTAGTTCTACTGTAAAATCAGAAGTTTTACAAGTGGTCCAAAATTGGACGTGGCGCACAAAACAGAATTAGCATTAAGGCCTGTTGTGTAAACCGAAATCTACCATAGACCACTGAACCCTGAAAAGAGCAATACCCTGTCACAATAAATACACTGCATTTACTCAGCATCATTTATTTAGCTGCTCCAGTGACTGTGTGACTGTGTGTGTGTGACTGTGTGTGTGTGTGTGTGTGTGTGTGTGTGTGTGTGTGCACGCGCACGGTCTTGATTTCCTCATCTTCAGAGACAGAGGGGCACATGAGAGAAATCCACATTGGAATCAGGCGTTCGTTTGGATGATTTGGCACTCCTTCACGGCCCTGAGAAGACAAGAAATACATGAAGCTGGAGGGGAGGATGGGTCTTGTGCTCTAAAGAGACAGCAGGGTCATTGTTCAGCAGCAGGGTGAGGCAAATTACAAAGAAAAGTATTAAGATAGAAAAAATGAAGAATCTCAAAATAAGCTGATGAAATCAAGCAAAGCGAGGAGAGCTGCACTCACGCGTCAGAGGAGGACACATGACTTGGGAGGCCTGAACGGGTTATCGCTGGAGGGCACCCCGGTGAGGAGGGGATCCTTGTGGGCATTTTGCAAACAGAAGGTCTTTAGTTCTGCAGCGGCCTGAGAAACCTGGATTCCATATCGTGTGGTTAAAGAAAGGCGATGTCATATGTCTGTGTTTAGGAATGAGCATGAAAGCCAGCCACAATTACACAGTCCATAATTCTCAAAAATGATTCTGCTCAATCATTTATTAAATTCATTAACAATAATAGCTATTTACTCTGTATAGACCCTTCCAACCTTTATCAACTAATTAGAAGGGATATCATATAGGTTTGATGTACGTGATGTGACAACAGTACATGTGAAAGCAGTACATGTACAGTTTATAGTTATGTCAATATTAACAGAGCGATAGGTTATATGACAGACAGAACATCTTACAGTATACCTCACACCACATCAATCCATTGGACCTTCATTGTTTATGATTCTACCATATTGACAACATCACAATTTTCTTTGAGTGAAATTCTCCTGTGATTTTTATTTATTCTGGTTGCTCCCCAACAGCGTATATAGGCCTGATGCTGTGGTGGTTTAAAACCTGCAGTTGAAAGTAGTGTGACTTCTGTTCTAAAATAAGTAGCCAGCCAAACAATCCCAGCAGTCACACAGCAGCACAATCAACAAAGCTATCACTGTGCTGCACTGTGTTAGCTACCATCTCACTGCACACCAGGAAGGCACACTCTGGCTTTCACGTGACTTATGGACATCGTGTAAAAGTGTTTCTTTTAAGTATGAAGTAATGTGGTCAGTTAGAAGAGTTTGAATAATAGACATTTTCCGTTTAAGCTAGTTTTAAGGAACCAAAAGACACGGACTTTAAACAGCAACTAGGAGGCTAGGCTACATGTTTCTGTGCGTTACAGCTGTTTTACCCAAAAGGTACTAACGTTACTGCAGTTGACGCGTTTAAGGACAAATAAACGGTCGATAAGTTTAAGAACTCCTTAAATCATTTGTTTGTAACTCAAATAAATTCCAAGTAGGAACTATGTAATGAATGTTACATAGTAAAAAAGTTTGGAGTAAATTCAAAAGTGTCTTAATTGGCAGTGATGGATAGGAATTCGTTTCTGCACGCGGCACATTAAAAGAGTTGAGGCGCTTTAGAGCGGGAGTCACGCGCACGGGAGCGGTTTTGGCAGTTTAGTGGAAGTGTTGCGTTGAGTGGACGTACCTTTATCCGACGCACACTGGCCTCGAGACGAAGCTGCTTCACCGCCTTCTGGGCGATGACTAAACTGCTGCTGGCGACGCTGCTGTTCGACATGACTGAGTGCGAACAACGGCGAAAGTGGTCAAGTAGTCAGTTACGTTCATGTTTCAGTACCAGGCTGGAATAATGGACGGCTTCCGGTCAAAACCTTCAAAATAAAGAGCCCATTCACTCGCTTTTCCTCGCCCCACCCACTCGCACGCGCACACACGCGTCATTGCTTGACTGTGTTGTTGTTTGTTTCTTAAATCACATTAAGCTTAGCTACTGCAATGGTGGAGGAAGTGTTCAGTTTTTTTTTTACTTATCCCAAAAATAGCAACACAATATAATATAAAAATGACTCTGTTAGGCTAAAAGTAAGTAGACTAGGTTGATTATTCAAAACACTCATAATACAGAAAATAATGTTAAGGCCTATCAGATATTAGGCTTGTATTGGATTACAGTTACTGGATGAGGTGGAGCTAATTTGAACTATTTATATATGTTGGGTAGTTAAAGATATAACTGTGCATCATATTTTATAAACTTAGTTTCTAAGTAGTATGTTTTCTATGTAACATCGTAATCTACATGTATTGGAGAATGGACTAATGTTTAATTAAACATTATGTTGAGTAATTGATGCTCCCTTAAGTCTGCAGAAATGTAGTTTGTAACTACAAGAAATAGGATGCCCAAAACAAAACTATCATAATAAATCTCAATCTTCCATTCAGTTGACCGAATTATAAATTGATAATTTCAAACAAACAAGAATGTGTACAGTGTCAGGAATATATATATATTGTATATAATTTACAAATTTGTTTTAGCTAGCTGGGGCCTAATAGTCTGACAGAATCATAACAAGATAAAGACTGGACACACTAAAAATAATAAATTGATTATGTGTGTATGTTGCATATGTATGGCGTGTGTTGTCTTATATACCGGTGCCAATGACAAATTTACATTAGGTGCAAATCTAATGGACAATAAAGTAATCTGAATATGAATTTGAATAAGCATTCAAAACAAAAAAAGACGGTAAATTAGCTTGACACCGTGTTTGTTTTATGAAACATGATAATTAAGGGAGACGGGATGATTATGTGTAATAGTATCTCATATAACAAGCCATGTATTTATACAAAGGGTAATTATGTAGTATGGTATTATATAGGGTAGTATTCAGCGGAGAAAGTGACGGGAATTTGATCCATTGGTAAAAATGCATTGAACCCGTAGGCCTGTAGAGGGCGCTAATGAAATACATTTCAGACCAAGCGGCTATTAATCCAACGAAGAAGAAGAACGCGGTTCAAAGGAGAAGTTGGTTGAATTTGGTTCCGGTGTATCTTATCTGGGGGTCACACAGAGGGGGAGACAAACCTACAAGGCTTCAAAATGCTGTTACGAGTGAGTACACGCAGCAGTTTGAGGGAACCGTCCCGTTAACCGGGGTCACACCGTACATTGGTGTAAATAAAACCGTTGTTACTGTTGTTATTACAGCTCGTCGCGCTGCGCGTGTTTACTAAGTAGCAGCTTGTGTAACGAGGCTTGAACGTATCACTTCTAAACGTGTCCGGTTACTGATAAACGCTACAAACACACGAAGTAACGTTACGGTGCTTTTACCAAAACGCAACAACCAGTCCGAAATAAATCCGTGTGTGTTTCACTGAGTCGTGGCTTTTTTTTGGGATGATGACACAACAGTGGTTGTGTAAGTTGGTTTTCATGGTGGCCACTGACAGAACCAAGCGTGAATGTACCTGCTTCAATGGAGAACTACAAGTAAACAACAGGCTGTAATGATGCCGTATTCCAAAAAAACTTTATCAGCGTTGATAAGCGAAGCAAAGATATGCAAATTCTCTCTCTCGAATCACAAACTGTTTATTGCCAAGTACGTCACACATACAAGGAATTGGCTCGGTGATTTGGTGTGTAACAGTAAAAACACAGTGCAATAGTATGACATCATTTAAAAATATGAAAATGTACATTAAAATATGGTAAACAAACAAGAGTACGTTAACGCAAGTATATTATTAAAGTGTCAAGTGTATATTAAAAGAGAAAATATGTGCAAAGGTGTGTAACAGTAAGAAATTGTCCTGAGGATGTCGGAGTCAGTGGGCGTTCCGGGCTTCATAGATGAACCCAAACAGTTCATGTGGCTTGAGGTCTTGGTCCTGATGGACCGCAGCCTCCTGCCAGAGAAGGGACTCAAACTGTTTGTGTCCAGGGTGAGAGGGGTCAGCTACAATCTTTGTTGCCCGCCTCAGAGTCTTGGAGGAGAACAAGTCATGGAGGGACCGCAGATTGCAGCCAATCACCTTCTCAGCAGAGCAAATGATGCGCTGCAGTCTGCCCTTATCCTCGGCGGTGGCTGCAGCGTACCAGACGGTTAAATTGTATACAAGTTGTTCTACACAAACAACTTATCATATAAGTCAATGTCAATAGAAATGAGGATTGTTATAAGCAGTTTGCGTCACATAATTTTAGCCCAGATTATCCTAAATTTACACAGTTATGTAAAGCAGTAAAATATATTTTATTACCAACCTCAAGAAATGACTTGGTATGTCTAAATAAAAAAAGAAGTTGCAATGCAGATTTATGCTTAGTTAAGCTTTCAATGAATTCAAGTTATCTATGAAATATATTTGATATATTTATTTGGATTATTTTATCGTGTGTATCTCTTCCATATGTTTATCCATTATTTACTGTTTAGTCCTTTGTCTTACATGTCAAATATGCAGTAAAGGCTAAATAGAAGCCCGTGTGTGTTTTCTGTGTCTTCCAGAGAGTGTTGCACATCGGAGGCTTGACGCTGAAGCACAGCAGGTCCATCCACCACAGCCCGGTCTGGAGGAGTCCCCTTGTCCCCATAGTTGTGGAGCAGACGGTGAGATTAAGGCACTTTCGAAGGCAGCATCAGGGAGAGCTTTCGGTTTTAAAGGCTCTGCTCACACGAGCATTGTCTTTGGATCATAAGATAACTATAATAGGGAACCAAACGTGTTTAAAGCAGATTTACATCCTTTCATCTAAGTACAGAAATGAAACAAATACAGTGGCTGGGAAAGTCGGACATTTAAAAAGTTTACATGCACAGATTTTCAGCTTTTAAGAGCACTAGATAGAATTGTTTTGTTGGGGTTGTGGAAATAATTTTTTGTTTCTTTTTCAGGGGAGAGGAGAAAGAGCTTATGACATCTATTCTCGCCTCCTGAGAGAGAGAATTATTTGTGTAATGGGTCCTGTAAGTGTATCCCTGGTTGATTGATGTTGGTTGATTGATGTTTTCACAGTGATTTTATATAACTTTGCTCTTCCTCACTCAGATCGATGACTCTGTAGCCAGTCTGGTTATCGCCCAGCTGCTCTTCCTGCAGTCAGAAAGCAACAACAAACCCATCCACATGTACATCAACAGTCCCGGTGAGGCGCTCAGCGGAGGGCTGGACAAACGCATCCGAACATCCTTAAAATGACGCAAACGATGCATGCCAGAAAACCATAGATTACAAATGAAAATAGAATAAATTGAATCAATTTTCTTTTTACGTTAGAAAAAAACTCAAATTTTGCTCCACCATCAATTCTTTTTAAAGAAAAACATTTTTTGAGGTGGAAAAACAAAAAGACAAACTTATGCTTTTACATTGAAACTTTTCTATTTTCCATTTTTGGAGGTTTTCCTTTTGGAATTGCTGTTTCATAATATTTATTTTTTCGCTTCCCTTTTTCTTTATAGAATTTCATTATGGCCTAATTATCTTGGAGGTGTACAACACAATAAGAGTCTATTTACCAGTTTCCATTTTTAAGTAAAACATCTGGCATAAGCATGAGCCTTTAAAATGACTAAATATATTTTCTTTCCTCTCCCCCAGGCGGTGTGGTGACAGCGGGCCTGGCCATTTACGACACCATGCAGTACATCCTCAATCCCATCTCCACCTGGTGTGTTGGCCAGGCAGCCAGTATGGGCAGCTTGCTCCTGGCGGCGGGAACGACGGGCATGAGGCATTCACTGCCCAACGCCCGCATCATGGTCCACCAGCCTTCAGGAGGCGCCAGGGTAAGGTGGCCCCCTCGGGTCCTTTGATGCTGATCTGAGATGGTGGTCACAAAGCCTGTAAAGGTGATCATTCCAGGGTAGTAATAATAATAATAATCAGAGTGCTGTGTGTCCAGGGTCAGGCCACGGACATCGCCATCCAGGCCGAGGAGATCATGAAGCTGAAGAGACAGATCAACAGCCTCTACGCCAAACACACGGGGCAGCTGCTGAGCACCATCGGTAGGTTCCAGCTCCTCGTCTTTGAGATGTTTGTCACAGAGACGTGAAGCCTTTAGGCGCAACTTTTTAGTTTCAGTCACAGATAACTGGTCCAGCGCTGGCAGAATAGGACGCTACTCACTCTTCGCGCAGCTTTTAACTCTTGCACGTGTAATGAATGTTGAGTTTTCCATTCAGACATGCTCCTGGAGCTGATCAGGGGTCTGTTTTCAGCTGAGTAGGTGATTTCCACACTAATGCTGCCATTCCTGCTCATCTTCTTTGTTTTGTTCTGTAAAACACAGTCAATGTTTTTTTTTTGGGGGGGGGCTCTTTGGTGGACGATAGAGTGCCTGTTAAACATGAAAACCCTTGTTAAGGACAATTAAGACATTGACCAGTGAAAAGAGAGTGAACCTGGAGTTACCTTCAACAGATGCACTTGCTGGACATGCAAATGGCTACCAAAGTAATTCAGTGGCAAGTTTGACATCAGAGTACAAACTTGCCTGCTGATTCTCTTTCCCAATGTAAGTCTATGGGGAAAAAAATCTCTGTGGCATCACGTGACAGACCCGGAAGATGTAACTCCATCGCTTGGTCACTATGTAAGATTTGAAGACTGGTGGTCTTCCTGGGGGCTTTATAAATGAGCAACTGTGTGCTAGCATGTTAGCCAAAACAACTTTATCAGTTAAACTGTATATCAGTGTTGTGTGTTCTGCTGGGGCCAAAAGAACAGCAAAGTATGTATGCAGTTGGTAAACTTGAGAATAGGACATTACAGCACTAAAAGTACGCAAGAACTAAGTAGTTATAAAAATGAAGGTATGAAGATTTCAAGCAGAGAGTTTTTAGTTGAGTCAGCAGTGAGCTGGGAGGAAATTTGGGGGGGTGCTGTCACAAAATTAGGGAGTGTGTCTTTAACATACAGTACGTTACCATTTGTCAACATGAGGTTTAAACTCACACGTACCTAATACAATAAACACATGGTCTGTATATCATCTGTAAATGGCTCCAATAGAGAGGTTAGCCAATCACAACAGCTGAGCGGGACTGATTTGCATGTCGTCAATTGGAGAGGAGGTATTCACAGGTGTGTTCATTTCTTTCCCGTCCTCTAGAGGGCGTGATGGAAAGGGACCGCTACATGAGCCCCATGGAGGCGCAGGACTTCGGTATCATCGACCGGGTCCTGGTCCACCCGCCCCAGGCGGGCCAGGACGAGCCCGAGCTGGTGCAGAAGGAGCCGGTGTCGTCGGCCAGTCCACCTCCACAGCCAGAGTCGGCGGCCCCGGGGCAGGCCCTCCCCGGGACCAACGCCCCCTCCTCGTACAAACCAGAGCCGTGAGGCCACCGCAGATACTTACCTCCAAGCCGATACTTGTAGAGTTCCTGAAGACGAGGCGGCGCCCCGCGGCCTTAGGTGACTTCTTTTCTTCCCCCAACCAACACATGCAGGCATCAGTGGCTACAGTGATCAGAGGGTGTCCTCATAGGACGTGAATCCAATGTATTGTACCTTTTTTATTTTTTATTACTTTTGAGACGGTGATTCCAGATGTAATAAAAAGTCAAAGCAGTGATGGCTGAGAAGCAGTCGGCCATCTTTTTGACTCCACATACAAGTTGATCTTAGTGCTCGCGGAGTGAAAGCACAGTGATACAAGATGTTTTATTGTAATGTAATGAGGTTATTCAGAGGGGAGGAAGCCTTTCTAGACGACTAAGACAGCCATCTTGTTCTGTACCCGCTTGCTGCAGACTGGAGAGGACCTGTGTGACCTGTATTTGACCTCATATTTGTGATGAATAAATGTGATAATTTTGACCACAATTCCTGAAAAGCCGACTCCTTGTTCTTGATCCATACCAGTCTCAAATTCATCTCGGGATCATCCCAATCAGTGACTGAATTCTGCTGCACAGTCACTGTGGTGTTTAAAGTATGTAATTATTCAAAAAGTGACTGCGGATCATCGGCTACGTTTTTAAAGGGTTCTGTAATTTGGTGACGCCTACAATCTACACATTTTTCACTCTAGTGGCATTTCATATTCAACCCCTCAGCACCTGGATCACCTCCTGCACGACCTATAAAGAGCCATTACATTGGTGGAGCCCGGGCCTCACATTCAGCCTGGAGAGAGCTCTGCAGCCTGGCAGTGATGGTCCTAATAGTGCTGCAGGAATGACAAATTATTTTTTAGGCCAACCAGGAAGTTAGCATCGCACTGGTTCCCTCGACACAAAAGGCAACGGGTTTATTCAGTTGGATTTTGGATTATTGCAGAAAAGAAGCTCTGAGGCAACATTTATGATACTTGCACGTTTTGGTCAGCAAGATAACCTTCACAACTGAACACGGCGTTTATGGTTTTTGGAAGCATTCGCCAGAAGTGAAAAGCTAATGTTAAGCTAAAGACGCACTACAGCACGGTCGCATGAGCGCGGGTACACAAGGCAGCACAGGCGAACTAGTCGGCATGATGACTTTTAGTGATCTCATTTCTGTTGGCAACCGCCTTAAGTTAACGCCTCACAACTGGTGTATTTTTCTGACATTTTATATCATAGAATGAAACGTGACAACCAAAACACCCATCGACTTCCAGACGAGGGAACCCGAAGTTCAGAAATGCTGACTCATGTCTGGGCTTTAGGACTCATTCCTGCAGCACTCTATATGGTGAATAGCAAAAAAATACTTTGCACTAAAATTAAAAAGATTAGTAACCAACTTTTCCGTTTGATACAAATGAACATAATACCACACTTTAGACCTTTATTCAACTATTCCATCAATACTTTTCCTGTAAGATATCTTGTACTTGAGCATGAATTTTGATGACTGAAAGCCCTGCTTGTGCTCCATCTGCACAAGTTTGAACAAATGAGATTTCGGCTCTAAAGACATTTCTTACTCATGCAGGAGGGGAATGACATTTTGTAAATTAACAAATTAACTATAACTCCTGTGGCAGCATGCGCCCTACAGTGTGAATAAATATGTATTGTGTGTGCTTTTGCGGACGAACAGCGACACATCTACAATAAAAGATTGTATTTACAGTATTTCATGAAAAACCACTATTAAAACACAAGAACACCACTGCATCTCTGCAGACAAAGAGAAAATATATATTTTTTTACAATATTGTGCACATAATGGCAGAGTGGTTCGATCAAATGAGGTTATTAAAAACAATAAGGCTGTAAAAAATGTCAGTGCAAGAGGATAAAAGTAGGCAGGCAGTTAACATGTCTGAGCAAATTTAAATGGTTTTATTCGTAAAATAATTGCATTAACCAGAATACATAACAATATGAGAAAAAAATGGGATTTTTTTTCGCAGTTGGGAGAAAATACAGAGTTTGGATATATTCTTAAAGCACTGAAGATATAAAATCTTCCTTTAACAATAATGACAACTTCCCAACATATCAGATGGATATTAAAGTAGGATTAATCCCGTTTCTAGTTGAATGTCCCAAACATTCACATCCATACGCACAGTATTAAAAAGCGTCATCTTCACACACACACACACACACACACACACACACACGCACACACAGCCCGTTATCACATGAGCGAGCAGCTGCTCTTGGCCGAGGTGGTCCAGCGCAGCCAGCTCAATTTGGTTTCTGTGTACGGCGGGTAGCGCAGACCGTTGAGTCTCTCCAGAGCCCAGCCACGAAGCATGCAGGCCCGCCGGTGGCTGAATGTCTCGAAGCCCCAGCGGCCGTGGTAGCTGCCATATCCGCTTGTCCCTGGAAGGAGTGGTCGAGACCATAATGCCAGTCAAAACATTTTTAAATGAAATGTGCACACAATGGCAGAGTGGCTAAACTCCAACACTCCGGTCTCTTTTCATATTATTAATCGCGCTATAAATGACTTGGAAGCATCTTTAAGAAAGGCCTCTCTGAAGATGTTCTCATACAGTGTTTAATAACGGGAAGACATCTAAAAATAAAGTAAAATGACCATTATTAATTTGTTCTGAGGCCTTTGTAGCTTAATTTGATTTGAGATAATAGATTCATACAGAGGGTTGACCTAAACCACAATTTCTGCATCCACATGTGTTGTAGGGTCTGCCTCACATAAATGTCATCATCTCTCCATGTCAGTCCGTAGAGGCCGACTGTACAGAACATAATGCCGTCTGCTGGATTATGGTTTGCCAGTGAGAATGTGGCTCACTGTTTTATATTGATTCATCTTAGGAACGACTAGAATTAGCACCTCACGGTGGTATGCCTCCACCGACCAGTCAAGTTTTGATTTACGCCCACGTCTGTCCAAAATGTCCTCACTTCATTTTATCCCGTTAAACATCCGTGTGAAATTAGCATGTGGGTTCTTGAGTTATGGCCATAGATGTATATACAAGTGGAAGTAGTCATCATGACGTCACCCATTGGTTTGTGGACTGCCGAATTTTGCTTCCGCCATGAACATCATGCTGTATTGAAGAAGACTTGAAACTAGAGATTGAGACCATAAACTCATGTTTACAATGTTTGTTTAGGGAATAAATTAAGTGAGAAGTAGAGTCATTTTCTCGTAGACTTCTATACAATTGAACTTCTTTTTGCAACCAGAGAAGTCACCCCGCCCTCCTGCAGGTCAGAAGAGAGAATGCAAGTTTTAAGACACTTCAGTGTCCATGGAGCAGAGCTAAGTTAGCTAGCTAGCTAGCAAACCAATGTAACGCCATGTTGGTGATGTAGCCTACAACGCAAGGCGAGAGATGTAGTTCCCCGAGCGGCTTCACACAAAACTAAAAGACAATACGAGAAATCTACGACAAACTGACTTTCCTAACGTGCAAAATTATCTTTTTGAATTGACAAACATAATTTGTATTCATTCATGGCAAAATTCAAAAGGGATCAACAAAAATATTGGCCATTGACAACTGTACATATTTTTTACTGTACCAAAGCATTTATAAATTTGTTATTACATTTTCATTATTCCGCTAATGTACAGTGGCAAAAAAATGGCAACCATATTTCCGGTTTCGGAAACAGATTGCCCGGTTGCCAGCGTGGCAACAACTTTTAAAAGTAAGCGCTTAGCCCTACCTGATGGTTTTTTTTGCTTGTTAGTAAATAATTGTTGCGAGTTAGTAAATTATTAGGTAATCTTAAATTTACCCAGGAATTGAAGATACAAAACCTGATTTTGTAATAGCACCCAACAGTTCCCCGAAATCCCACAACTCTCCAGCTGGGAGGAAACTTTGGGAATTAGGGAAGTGGAGGAGCTTTATGCCAGCGTCACTACCTACCTACACCTCCGAAGGGCAGGGTCGGCAGGCACATGTGGATGATCCCGTCATTAGAGCAGAATCCTCCACTGCTGGTCTTCTCCAGAACGGTGTTTACCACCTTCAAAAAGAGGAGAGGACAATGGGACGTCAAATAGACAACACAATATGTCCACAGCTACGATGCAGGACAGAGCTCTGTGATCTTACAGATGACTCGTCGGAGAAGACGTAGAGGGCCAGCGGCTTCTCTTGGCGGTTGATTAAGGCGATGCCTTCCTCCAGAGACTCCACGGTGAGGATGGGCAGGATGGGGCCGAAGATCTCCTCCGCCATCAGGGCGTCGTCCTCGGCCACGTCCACCAGCACTGTGGGAGCTGACGGAAGACATTAACACATTAAAGACATAATTATCATGCTGTGTGATCCCAAATATTTTGGGGAAGAAAAAAAAAAAAGACACAGAAATCAAGATTTCTACGGTTCAAATGTTTTTTTCAATTCAGAAAGAGCGTTACTGATTATCCGACACACTGAAGAACTCTTTTCTACAGAGACACATTCAGAGGAGTCGCCCCCTGCTGGTCAGTAGAGAGAATGCAAGTTTTAAGACACTTCCTTATTGGCTTTACTCGGCAGAACTGGAGGTTGCCTCCTGATAAAACCACTGGATTTTCAAGAATGTAACATTTCATTAGTTAACTTTTAACTTCTTTATGCCACAGTGTTGCCTTTGCAACCAATATAATAGAGGACCAAATATCTTTTGTTCAACATATTGGGAAATAAACACAATCATCATCTTAAATAGGAGAAGCTTATTTCATTAAAGATGAAACTTACTTTCGCGCATATACGATACACTCAGCGGTTTCAATGCTGCGGTGTTACTTGGTCTGGTGTGACGGTGGCTAATATCAGCTAATGCTATCTAGCTTTAGAAAGACAGCGCTACATAACTGACATTAGACACAGAGTCAGTTCTCTGATTCTCTTCTCTACCATTGCAACACTATATTATAGCATTTACCATTACCCTATAATTGTGACCAATTGTGGCTGCTGTTACTTTACCGTCACCCTCGTCCGTGCTAACTTTAACGCCATTCTGAGAAAAATTAACGTGCAGCGGTATTGTGCGTTTATCAACTGGTCAGCTCTGGGACACTATTTACAAATGTGAACCTGAAGTCTGGACACCAATACTTAATACAATAGCTTTTCTTTTAAAAATGCTTTTTTGAACACATGCTGCCAATCACACATATATTCTGGCTATGTCCTAAGTTAAATGCATACTGGAGAGAAGTCTTTGACGCCCTCAAAGAGATATTCCAACAGGACATCCAGCAAGACCCCACAGTAGCACTATTGGGAGAGATACCTGAAGGCCTGGATGGGAGGGCCAAAAAAATACCGTCTGAACATACTACTCACAGCAGCATTGAAGGGTATAACCATCAGATGGCTAAAACCGGATCCCCCTACATACGATATATGGATCCAAAAAGTATGGGACATCTATCAAATGAGCGAATCACATATTCATTAAGGCTCCAAAAGCCTATCTTTACTAAACGATGGGGTCCCGTCATAGCATTATTGATACAATGAGGGTTATTACTATATGTTGCTCGATCTGGTTGAACTGATACCCGTTAACTCTCTCTATACACACACTCTCTATACATACACCATCCTCTCTGAAAAGCATATATAGCACCTACAATACTACATTCAGGAGTGGACAATTGTTATTTCTTCATCCCTTGTTTTTATTTTATTTTATTTTATTATGAATGCATGTAATCAATTATCTATTCTTATTATTTCCCCCCTCTTTTTCTCTTGGAGTGAGCACCATCTGATGTTTGTTGTTCCTTCTGTGCGTTGTACACTGTACCTGAATACCATGTGCACCAAGACTACATGCAGCTGAAAAATGGACAAAGAAAGTAATTGTCTGAAAATGCATGTTGTTATGTTGTTGAAAACTAAATAAAAAGTGAGTTAAAAAAAAAAAAAAAGCTTTTAAAAATATATGCATTCTACAGTTTTTGAAGTTTACCGCGAACCCACCTATGTACTTGTCTTCCTGGTCGCTCTCTCCTCCCACCACAACCTTGCCAGCGGACCTCTTGAGCAGCTCCATCAGTCGAGTCCAGTGTCGGGGCGACACGATGCGAGACATGTCGGGGCTGGTCTGAGGCTCCTTGCTGTAGAATTCCTCCAGGGTCTGGCGCAGTGCGGGCAGCAGGGCGTCCCTCGTGTCAGGCGAGCAGAGCACGTAGTCCGGAGCTACGCAGCTCTGGCCGGCGTTGAAATACTTTGACCACACCAAGCGGCGAGCAGCGGCCGCGATGTCCACCCGGCCGTATATGAAGCACGGACACTTGCCACCCAGTTCCAAGGTCACCGGGGTCAAGTGGACTGAGGCAGCCCGCATGATGATGCGTGCCACAGTCTGAGAACCTAAGAAGACAGTGTCCAAAGTGGAAAGGGTTCATCCTCTGTTGAACAAGAACGCGGTGAACGTTTCTGGTGTTGGATGGAGAATGAACTGACTAAAATCGTGATCCTTTAGTGCCAGTACTGGACAAAAAACATGTTAAAAACACCACTGATGTATGAAGACAACATCTACAGTTGCACATTACTTTCGGTTGCTACCTTGACCTTAATGAAAGTATTTACATTTTTTATATTAAATCATATACTGTTTTACGAAGCCGGTTGACTGGATTGATTTGCACATAATTTGAATGAAAAGTGTGTTTCATCAAAAGGATCGGAATAAAATGATTCAAAGCAGAGAGGCTTTACATCACCATCCGGCTTCAAATTGAAATACAGATGTTCATTTATTTCAGAGGGGAAATGAACAAACACAGTTTAAAGAGAGAGACTGTCTAACCTTAAAACAGTCTGACTCTTACTCTTGATCGATGAAACGGTGTAAGAGTCATAAGCAATCAAACACCCTCAGTCAATTCAATACACTCCAGTAGCTTTTGGTGGCTAATGTTTATAAAGTAAAATTAGCTAATATTATTCTTTACTTTATGTAGAAATAGCTGTATACTGTTGTACTACCTTTTAGCATGTTTCAATGTTAGTAAATCAGGGAAATTCCTTGTGCCACACAGCTGAAATCTGACCAAAGATTTAATCATGTTGCACATTTGCACACCCTAAATTATTCAGGTGATATACAGACTTCTATAGACTTCTTACCTGTAAGTCTGTTAATTGCAGAGCGATGATTTAGATCATCGCATTTGTTTGTTGTATTTGTGATTTTTTGACCAGTGTAAAGGACACACACATCTACAATGGAGACTCTTACCTGTGTAGAAGATGTGGTCAAAGCGATTCAGCAGAAGTGTCGTGGTCTCCTCTGCTGCACCACGAACAACTGTGTAACAGTCCTGCCACAATAAGAGTATCGTCTTACTGAATGTGAGATTCACTGTGCCAAGCTCCTCACCATACATACATACATACATACATACATACATACATACATACATTATATAGTCATCAAGTATAGTCATTGGTGACATCTAGAAACTGTTTCATCATTACACAGTTTGTTCACTAGAAAGCACAGATAGTGGGACATTTCTGCACATATCTTGGTCACAGTTCTTTGCTACCAAGTCAATCAAAATCAATTAAGTGAGGAAACTCTGCTTTCAATGCCTCGTCATATTTTATAACAACATCACCCTTAAAAAAAAAAGGGAAAAATATGATTTTGTGTTATTGTGGTTACACAAATGTAATTTATGGCGCTGTTAGATTGCTGCTAGACCGCAATCCAACAGGTGCGTGCCTCCCTTTGTGTGCGGCAAGCGGGAGAGCTAAATGTTTTTGAACACAATGAAAATGTTCGTGCACTGCGTCACTCACTGTGTTCGGTACAGCCCTACATAGTTTCTGGATATAAACTACACTTACAGAAATATTATCAAGAGAGTCAGTTAGATTGTAACTGAATTCGTAGATTGAACAAAAAAAACGAAAAACCCAAATGTTGCTTTACCTGAGACAAATATTTGGTTATGAGCTCTGCCATCAGACGGTCTGTGTGGGCGCTGACCTCTGAAGGCTTGATGACGGCACAGTTTCCTAGTCGGAGACACCATCATCCAGTCAGTAACGACAACAGTGATCGACTTGACACAAGTTAGGTCTTCAAATGTTTCAAAAGGTGCTTTAATGCTGTTTTAAACCCAAATGAAGCTCCTTTGCCCTCTATTGTCCCGTTCTGATAAAGGACTTACTAAGACAGCTCCAGGCTAAGTTTTTTCAGACAGCCTGCGTTCTACACGTCGAACTGGAGCAAAGTTTAAGGGCATCCTTGCGGATTCAAAAGAGATGAATGAGAACCAATAATTACTTTTTACAGAAGAATGAGGAATGTTGTTTGCCTTTATCGGCATCAAGTACAGATATGCCGATAAATGCTGTTATGTTCTTTCTAGAACAGAATGTTATCCAGGTCTCGTCATGATGCCGATGTCTGATAAATGAGAGTCAGCTGCAAACAACCCTCATGTTCTCATTCCATGACTTTCACGTGTCCGTGAACTTAGGTTTGATCAGATGCCGAATGAATACAATGCAGTTTAGCAAGAAACCCTTAAACTTTACCCAAAGCATTTAGCAGCTAAAGAGCCAGTATCGGAGCAAAAAGAGAAGGCGAGTGTTGGACTGACATTGAATGACAATGTTGCTCTGTGTCTGCTGGATACACTTTGCGAACAAGTTCACCATATCGACCTAAATTGTGATCATGTGTCAGTTTTTGAGCAACATTATCATCCCATTGGAGTCCTGTTTCTGCCCACTTGTTGAATTCAAGTCTGATCTTCACTCTCTTTTTTTCTTCACTATCGCTGGTCTCAAATCAATGAGCTAAATGAGGCCCCAAAGCTCCACGGAGCTGAAGGGCCTCAAAGGGGATTTGATCATTTTGTTGTCATTTGATTGTTTGCAACACTTAAAAAAGAAGACACAAATATGGAGCGGTACAGCTTTAAGTCAATATACAGTGTATATTCTGGTGATTACGGGTGTGGATGATACCTGCAGCAATGGCTGAAACCAAAGGTAGGAGAAGGAGATGCAGCGGGTAGTTCCACGGCCCGATGATCAGCACCACTCCCAGCGGCTCCCGCCGTACAAAACAGTCATCTAGCTTTGTGGCCTGAAAATGAACAAAGATAAGAAATGTATTATATCGCAAAAGAGAAAAAAAATAAATGAAAATAAACCTGATGAAATCACGAAAAGACAAAAGACAGGATCATTTTTTTTATTTTATTTTTTTAATCTGTCCCTTGTGAGTCTCACAACTTTATGGAAGTGCAATACACATTCTGCAATGGCTGAAAAATCTTCTTTTTTGCAGACCTCCAGTGATCTCACTTCACAGTTTAACTGCAGTGATGTACAAGTGTACTCCAGTGGCGGGCCGTGCATTTATACCTAGGCCTTCACTGTTGTCCTGCAGCTGAAATACCACCTTATAACCACATGATGGAGCCACAGTTATTAGTTTCTAAGGCTATAACTATGTAGGTAGTAAATGTACGTATCTATGTATCTATGTACCTACCGTTCGGTACGAGACTTACAATACGTTTGAAAAGTACTAGAGCCTTTGGAAAATGCAGAAGCTCATACTTAGGAAAATATAATGTTTTCTGCGCTCATGGAGGACAATGGTTCTCAGCTGGTCTGGCTGTGGGACCCACCATCAATCCTTAACGACAAGCCCAAAGAGATTGTCTTAGGAATTTACTTTCACAACTCGAACATTGAACGTACTGCTCTACAATGTCTTTCCTCGTCTCAGTCTCCTGTGTCATGGTGTGTGTACATATCACTTAGTCAGAATGCCCATATTTGATTGGCTGAGCTGCATCGCGTGATGTGATTCACTACCCGACAGCCTCTGCTGTTAAGTTTCGTTTCACGATAGTCACGTGATCGCCCACTGACCAATCACAGCGCACTCTGTACCTCGCGGGAGAGCTGCATGGACACTGAGCTGCACGTAATGCTGACGTCATTATAGGCCGGCTCACAGGCTCGGATACATCAAAGAATACGCCCAACATGTCAAACTAAAGATCTCATTGGTTAAACACTATGACAATCAACAATATCGTCTCCGTTCACTTAATACTGCACTGGATGCACTTCAGAGTGTGCAGGCCTCGGGCCTCTCTTCTTACCTAGAGACACAGAGGTGAGATCTGATTGGATAAAAGCTCTACTTAAAACCATCTGCACTGGAAGCAGAGCAACTGAGGAAGACAGTAGCTGTGCAATGAGAAAATAAGATAATGGGGAAAATATTATTATAAATTATAATACATGTAGTGTATTTAAGAAAAATTATTAAATTATAAAATAGATATAGCTTTGTGATTCTGTTTAGGCCAGCAGAGAAGGCCTTGCAGGCCCGCCACTGCATTTGAGTCACTGCTGGGTGTGGTCACTCTTCAGCCCAGCGCCGTGGTCATTTTTGTGAATTAAAAATCTTTTGGATTTTTGTACCGTTTGTTACACAAAATAACATGAAGACATTTCCACAGACAAATTTCAACAGTAAAAACAAAAAAAATAAATAAATTAATTAAAAAAAATTCTAAAAAGGAATAAAAAGATAGGCAATGGTAAAAATGATCGTTAAACCCTACAACCAACTGGCCACTTCCAGCCCCACCCAACCCACTATCTGTAAATCCTCCACTAACTGACCGGTCACTCTCCCAATTCTCCCTCATCTCCCCCTCAGATCTCAACAAATCACTTTATGACATAAAGACTCCAACCGGTGACCTAGACCCTATGGGGTCAGATCAGTCTCAATAATTGCAAATGCACACAGAATGTATTTGTGAATCGTTCTGTGTGCATTTGTAAATCAAATATATTTGTGAATTGTTCTGTGCGCATTTGCAATTATTGAGACTGATCTGACCCCATAAGACCCTATCCCTTCCACTTTAGTCATGGCTCGTCTCTTGGGCCTCCTCTCTGTCATCAACTCCTCCTCTCTGTCATCAACTCCTCCCTGTCTACTGGCTTCGTTCCTCTCGCCCTCAAACTCACCTCAGTCACACCCATCCTCAAAAAGCCTGGCCTTGACCCCGATATCCACAACATCTACAGACCCATCTCCAATCTCCCTTTTCTGTCTAAAATACCAACTAAAACCCACCTCGACTCGAACCATTCTAATCTGGATTCAGATCTCATCACAGCACAGAAACTGCCCTCATCAAAGTCACCAACGACCTCCTCCTCTCCTGATACTGCTCGACCTCAGTGCAGCCTTTGACACCATCAACCACTCCATCCTCCTTTCCCGTCTCGAGAGTCCTCCCTCCACATTACTGGCACAGCCCTCTCCTGGTTCAGATCATACCTCTCCGACCGTGAACAGTTCATTAGTATCAATAACTTCAAGTCTGACACAGCTCCAGTCTCTCAAGGTGTCCCCCAAGGTTCAGTACTCGGTCCTCTACCTGCTCCCCCTTGGCGACATCATACGCCACCATGGCCCCTCCCTCTCCTCCACAGCCACTGAAATGCTCATCCATTCCTTAATCACCTCTCGACTGGACTACTGCAACAGCATCCTGTACGGCTCATCCACCAAAATCATCAACAGACTACAATACATCCAGAACTCAGCTGCCCGTCTGCTCTCCCACTCCCACACCAGAGATCACATCACCCCAGTCCTTCAAAACCTCCACTGGCTCCCCATACAGCACAGAATCCAGTTGAAGATTCTCCTCATCACATACAAAGCCCTTCACAACCCTGAACCCCTTCATACCTTTAGACCTCATGCAACGACACTCTCGCAACCGCAACCTCAGATCTGCCGATGCCAACCTCCTTACCCCCCCTACTCTGTCCAAGCATTGGACCTGGGGTGACAGGGCCTTCTCCATCGCTGTCCCCTCCCTCTGGAACTCCCTCCCCCAGCCCCTCAGACATTCTGCGCCACTTTCAAGACTGCGTTTAAAACTCAAATATTTAAATTTGCTTTTAACCTGTGAAGTTAGTTATGTATGTTTGTTTTGTGCTGTTCCTTACTGTTATGTCATCTATTTTGTTTATATTATAAACTACTTCTATTGTGTGTAAAGCATCTTGGATTACCTATTAAAGCACTATAATTGTTATAATTATATTTATTAATATGTATGTAAATAAAAGGTACTCGACACCCAGTTTTAATAAATCATTGTTTAACCTACCAGGTTTTTGCTGACGTACTCCGGCTGTATCCAGCTTGTCAAGTTAGCGATGGCAAAGTACAGCTCGTTGACCACGATATCGACCTCGGACATGATGGCCTCAAATTTTGGCTGACAATAAGAAAAGGGAGGTTAGTGCTTAATGAATCGTAGCGGACAAACAAATCATATAATTGCTTCAAACACCCTGCAAGTGTGCATGTGTGCCTTAAACGTACAAATTTAGCAATAAGCAGTTGTAAAGGTAGTCAACATATGTGTGTGTGTGTGTACCGTCTTGTACCTTTGCGAGGTCTTCGTGTAGTGCCTTTAAAATCTGCTCCTCGTTCTCTTGGATCATGGACATGAGCTTGTTCAGCTGAGTCAAGCGAAACTCCACTGGTATCGTGATGCCCGAACGAAACACCGACCGCAACCTGTCCACGACCTGGCTCTGGGTCTCCATCCTGTCCCCTGGAACATACAGAGAAATAACATTTCTCCTCTCAGGTAACTTGAAACAAGTAATAAAAAAAAGAAGAAAGAAACACACATTTGATAAGCTGGAACAGCTGATAAAATAACAGCCAAATGATTACCACAGCAGTTTCGATCAGCGATTATGAAGGAAGTGTTTCTGACACTAGTTCGCTAACTTTAGCTGAATAATGAATTAAATGTCTCGTTGCATATGTTATGTGTGCTTATTACGTTTTCCTTTGTACATTTCCCAAGATGATCGATGCAGCCCCGGGGAACAGAAGGCCTGTTGATAATCTCAGTGGAATGACGTCGTACTTGGCTGTGCCCGTTAAGTGTGTGACGGACTGGAGGCCACCTGTTGTTAAGGCTACCGATGTGACATTCATCCGCATTTATGTTGCCGCGTGCACTCCGCACAGAGTTGATGTTGGCAGCTAGATATACAATTTGAAGGATTTTGTCTCAATGCGCTCGTTTTTCTTTGCGCACACCGTCCGTGTTCCTTTGTCTGTGGTTCATGATGAGTGGAATGTCAACCAGGCGGCAACCTTTATGTACAGTTCTGAAGAGTGAAGCCGATGAGGAAGTGTCTTAAAACTTGTTTTCTCTCTACTGACCAGCAGGGGGCGACTCCTCTGGTTGCAAAAGAAGTGATTGTATAGAAGTCTATGAGAAAATGACTCTACTTCTCTCTTGATTTATTACCTCAGTGAACATTGTAAACATGAGTTTATGGTCTCAATCTCTAGTTTCAAGTCTTCTTCAATACAGCATGATGTTCATTTAGTAAATGATGGTCTATTTAGAGGGCGGGCTTACTGCGATTGACAGGTCGTTGTCGCTACCAGAGCCGAATGCGGCGTCTCTACGTCACTTCTCCGCATTCCAATTATGGTAACTTCTGTTCATCGGTTGGCAAAAAAACAAACAAAAAAAAAAAAAAAAACGTGGCGGCGACCGTAATTAGGGACGGCGAAGTCGAGGCTTCAAAACGGCAGTCCACAAACCAATGGGTAACGTCACAATGACTACGTCCACTTCTATATACAGTCTATGATATCAACTGACCCCCACTTACAGAACTGGATTACTTGTGTTAATGTAAATTACCCAGGTCTGTTCTTAGATACTCCTACTGGCACTACTTTAATAGAACATGGATGCTGATGTGGCTGATGCTAATCCTGTCAATCGGCGCCAGCGGTTCCATTGGGTTTCTCCAGAAAAGCGTAAAAGCTAGACTCACAAGTGTCCTCCATGTGGGAAGATGGTATCGCTGGACTCTCTTTATCTCAACGCGCTTGTCCCGGTCTCTTGGCCAGTATACCAGATTCCACTGATTTCCGAAAGAACGAATGCAGCGACAAAACCCCTTTTCTCTCCCGAGGATGGAAGATCGTGTTGATCAGACTGATGTTCTTAAGGGGTTGTTGGCAGGTTTCCCTGTTCATTAGAGAAATGTCTCAGTCTTCATGATCCTACAGTCATGCAATTTGGGCAGCAATATGCTTTACATAGTTAACGGTTGTTTGCTACTATATTAAACCTCAGAATGTTAAATACAGATATTTTAAAGATAATCACAATGGAACTAATTAATATGACAATGCAACTTATCTGATTACACTTTTTTTTTAAAATGTATTCTGGGGTGATTATGGTTACTTTTTCATTTTTTTGTAATGTGATTAGGTAATCCGGATTAAATTGGGACTAATTACTACCCAACCCTTCCTATGGGTAATATGATTAAGAAAAGCCTCATATTAGTTAAAACAATACAAATTAAACAGCAGGTAAATGAGACCGGGATCACAGCGGGATGCGTCATTACAGTAAACCAGCGCGTGCGGAGGAGGCTAGTTTATAAACTCACAGGTGCTAATTGTTATGTAATTGTAAATATATGCAGCTGTGCGTGGCCAGAAATACGGCAGACCAAACGAAACGCACGTGTAACGTCATCAAATTAATTTCACAACTATGAACAAGCTATTTAAAACAAACATGAATATCAGATCAAACGTGTCAATCTACCTGTTGAGTTTGTGTCCCGCGCCGAAGACACACCGAAGACAGTGACTCGGTATTTCCGGGTGTTGGCTCTGATTTACCTGCCGGCCGGTCGACTGCGCGAAATAGGGGGCGTGAATGTTTTGGGGTTGATCCAGACAAACCGGCCTTCAGACCAGTCAGGTGAGAGAGCCGTGGCCCAGCTGCATAGGTTTGGTTTCACCGTCGGCTGGGACACGTGTGTGTGTGTGTGTGTGTGTGTGTGTGTGTGTGTGTTTCCACATTCTGGTGAATCTATCTGCATCAATTAATAGTGGAAATGCCTTAAAGTATGTAAATGAACACCCATAATTCATGGCGACAGGTGACAACTCAAAATATAAAAATATGATAGAATATATGACTTTAAATTTCAAATACATTATTCCCCCGTGGATCAACATTTCTCATCATGCCTACATGTGATGACTGCTAAGTCATAGTCATGATTTACCCATGTCCTGTTTGTGTCTTTAACCTCTTTAAATGTGCATGTGGCACTTGCTCAAAGGTGCATTTATTCATTTTAATTCATTTATAAAAAAAAAAAACAGATTTAATAGCTCGTGTGTTTTTTCACCAAGACTTCTGCTCGTGTTTGAAAACTTTCTGCACATTGAAAACATGTTGGGTTTAATGCAAACAAGCTGGGACAAGTACAGGATGGGACAGTTCCGTCCTCCCAGGACATTAGTAGAGACATGTCCCCACCGGTCCATAACCAGCGCCCTTTGCATGTTCAGTCAGTTTATGAACAATGTTAATTATTTATACTAATTGTCCACACATTAGATATTGTACACTTAACTGTTCATTGAGCCGGAGCAGTTTGCCTGAGGCGACGCGTGAACACTCAACCCAACAACCGGTTTTATCGGTTGATCTGCTTCCACTTTTTACCCGGATCGTTCCGACGGTTCTGGTTCTCGGTCACGAGCTTGTATTTCTGCCCATATGTGGGCACGTGTTACTGTATGACAGTCTTAATTGCACTAAAAGACACAAATTGTCATGGAGCAAGGTGGGACGTGATGGTGTGTTCTTTCACATAGCGTCACAGTGCACTGGAAATGAATGACACATTTAACCGAAATGAAGAGGACAACTCTAATACCCCATCTGTTCGGCTTTTGACAGCAATATTTAGTTGTGTTATAGTGCTTTTCATAAATGACTGCATAAAAAATGTGCTCATGGTTTTATCTGAACTGACCCTGAAACATGTTATGCGAGTGTGACAACCAAACAACGTAGTGTATGTAGTAGAGGGGCAACGGATTCGGATCACAGTCACGGATCAGCACAAAAGAAAGGAGGGAGCAAATATAACAGATCCCTGATCACGTTTTTATGCGGCTGACACCAATTGCTAATCATTGATGATCCATATTGGCAGATATATCCATTTTTGTTTGGTTATAGCAGCTGGTCTACAACACATTTCAACCACTCTGAAGTCTGTAAAATACTTTGTTAGTCATTTAAAGTAGTTTCTTCATAAAACAATTCAGATTAGATAATAAAAGATTGTATTTTTATGGGTTAAAACAAATCTTGTCATTAGTAGTTTTAATGACTTATAAGAGCTAATGTAAACAGCTCATAATTCATCAATATCCATTTATATTAGTGTGAAAACATCTCCTTCAACCAACTACCAAACCGCGAGAGGGGGGGGGGGTCCGTACCGATTGACAGTGGTCCGTTCCACCACTAGTATGCAGCCACGGTGGGTACGCGCGCCTCATTAAACCAAACCTGAAAAAAACCTCAGCATTGATACAAAAACTTTATTCTCACAATATCAAAATTGACAGACCTACAGTGATTTGTAGATTAAAAGGAATTAAGAGAGAAAACGATGATGAGTATAGTGACTCCTGTCGGCCAGGCGCTGAGCAGCAGCAGCGCTGCGTGTGTTAAATAGTGACGCACATAACTGTTAAACAGAAACATAAGAGCAAAAGAAGTGGGGGAATAACATCATCTTGCATTTAATCCTGGCAGCAACAATTATACAAAAATCGAAAAAAGCAAAGAAAATGTATGCATTGAAGGAATTCCTCGAGGGACACTTTGCCGATTTTCAACCGGCTGTGTGTGTGATCACAGTTCCGGGTCGCCGTTCTGCCTCCCTCCCACCCACACACACACACACACACACATACACACTGACTGGTGGAAAATCAGCAAACATTTCCCTTTAAATGATTGTTTAACTTCCTACATCTGCAAATATTTAAAAATGAAGAGGAAAAAAAAAAAAAAACTCTTTCCAGATACTTCTAAAAACTAAATGACGAAAAAAAACAACACTACCAGAGTGGTGAAGCTCAGGTCGGTCGAGGGGGGTCGTATCTAAAGCGGGAGGAAGGAGAAATGGAAGAGGAGGCCGAGGGGAGAAAGGAAACGATGGAGAAGTGACAACAGTCGTGAGGCCCAGCGTCCACCCTTCACAGTGACTGCTCCGTCAGCCTCCGGGCAGCGCGGCAGAAACCCAGCTCTCCCAAAGCTGAAGCCACATGCGGCTTCGCAAGAGGGGGAGGGGGAGGGGTTGTTTGGCAGTTTTTTGTTGTTTTTGTCAAACTGTTCAGTCTGACAGGATGATGGAGGAGGGCGGCTGGTGTGAAATGGTACCGGAGGGGCTGTTTTTTTCCCGACACATCGTGGCTGTCCGCTCGGAGAGACTTCACAGGAAATAGTCTGCTACAGGCTTCTTGGAGGGGATGCCTCTGGTCTCCTGCGGCGCTGCCTCGAATATGATGAACTCCCGCTGTAGATGCTCGTCCAGCTCCAAGATGGCCGCCACGTTGCCGCACCTGATTGTGTAGAGGTAGGGGAAGAAAGAAAGTGGGTTAGGACACTCGCATAATTTGCAAATGACAAAAAACGAGGCTGTCTTCTAGACCACACTGAAGAATCTCTCGGCTGTGATGAACTCGGCACCTGCACACACACAGTACTGGTGGGTCGCGAGGTGCATTGACGATGAGCCGAAGCGGCTTTTGGCTGTCAATCCGAGGACAGTTACAGAGCTTGTAGCTGGTTGTGTGGTGGAGGAGACGCTACCAAAGGCCCAATCCCAATGTCCACCCTAAACCCTCAAACCCTGAACCCTCAAGGACTTACTGACGTCACCTGGTGAGTGTGAGAGACTGAGGGCTTGAAATGGTGCGACTATGAATGGACAGCACTTTGCTGCCACGTATCACGTTACCATGAAAACGACAAAAAATGTGATGTATAATTGTGGGTATTTATTTTATACTTTGTACTCCCTGATTTAAACATCTTCCAGGCTCTTTCCTCACAAGATGAGAGGTAATTCATATAATCTATTTACTTGTTTTTGTTAAAACAGCTTCAATGACAAAATCAAATATTTGATGAATAAATAAATATCTTCTGATTTCATGTTTTTTTTTGTTCCATCTTTAATCCTTAATGTTTGAGTAACTGTAATATTCCAGGCTGAACACATGTGAGTTGTCCTCTTTGTTTACGTCTCCATGCGTCCACTGGTTACCCCGTGTTTAACGTAACATTGCAATGATTTGTGGGCAATGCTCTTTGGCAAATCAGCATCCTATGCTGACTTACGGAAAGGGTTCATAAAGGGCTCAAAATGTCTGCGAGAGAGTCCTCAAACACTCGATTTGACAGAGGGACAGCCCTAAACCCTCACGGACTTCGCGGGAGCGCGCCTCAAAGTCCGTAAAGGGGGAGATTGGGATTGGGCCAATATCAACACCACCAAATCCTCAGGAATAGCTCCTCAGCCATAACCCTTACCTGCTTACATCTGGTCTCTTTTGAATGGTAAGAAGCTAAAGAATACGAGTACATTGTAAGTAAACTAAACTGTATTACCATTCAGGGAAAAATGCAGAAGCAATGGTGAAAAATAAATAATTTGACTCCTCGCCTAGTATAAAAATCTGAAGTTCAAAAGGCAACATCGCCGTTAAAGTCAAGATCCCACAGACAATGAAGCAACTGAACGTCTTCTCTGACTCTCTGAAGTCAGCTGGAACTATACATCAGAAGAAAATACACTGAAATACAACATTAATGATACAATAAAGATATACTCAGGTGGTACTCACCTGAGATATACTCACTGATGTTTACTGTTAACTGAGAGTTTTACTTCAAAACACTATTCATTTTCATATAACAATGTGACATACAGCACATCTCCCAAAAACATTGAAATAGCAATAAACACAAAGAATGATCAATAGTCAATAATGAAGAGCTCCATGTGGACATTCTGTCAGTTCAAACAGGGACCATGTGAGTTTCGCTGCGTCGACATACCTGTAGCAGTAGTTGGGCGCCGACCACACGGTGAGCACCGTCTCGTTGAAGTGCCACTTGTAGCCCTCCATGACCAGCTGGTGTGCTCGACAGATCATGTGAATGTCGTTGGCGGCGTTGAACTGCGCCACCACGTCGCTGCCGAACAGGTAGCCGGCGCCTCTGGGACTCACCCCCCACCCTGTGGTGTCTGAGTGGGAGAGAAGAGCAGTCAGGTGAAGATCGGCTTCTAAGGACGCGGTTACACGCTCGTCTTTTCAGCGGGACTTCTGTCGCCCGATCGCGTCGGCACGCATTAAATGTCATGAACTTTACTTTGAAAAATGTTTCGGAAATTAAGAAGCATTTATCCACCAATTTACAGCCGCACCTTTGATCTCAAAATATATATAATCACTGACCAATCAGACAGGTCGCATTGAAGTGTGGACACAAATGCTCCAATCTGCCGCATCCCATGACAAACATCACATTGTAAAGACAAGTGCAACCACGGCCTAACATGGCATCAGGGAAAGGATTGCTGTACATCCCACTACATGTCCGCCACCGATCCAAGTTTTCCTTTCATCATGTTTCCATGAGCAATCACAAACATACGAGTTATTAATTCAGCGTTTAAACGGCTTGACAGGATGCCTGCATACCTTCAGGGTCTGACCACAGGAGGTCACACATGGGCCCATCATGGGGAACTTCCTGTTTTCTGTCAATGGTCCGGATCTGGTCCAGTGTCTGAATGGATGGAGACAGGCCGCCGTGCACACAGAAGATCTGAGGGACAAAGGGGGGGGGGGAGAGTGTGTCAACTCAACGGACGGAGCTCATATGAACCGAGAAGTTACTCAACCAGCTATCAGAGTAGTAACACCACCACGGAATCATTTCCTGCATCCAAGTTCAAAAGGAAATGTTCTCTCACCTTGCCGTCGATGATGGCGGAGAGGGACAGGTAGTCGAATATCTCCGTGCAGTACCTCCAGACCGTGACCGAGCCGTACTTGCGGAGGCACTCGTCGTAGAAGCCGTAGACCTGGGTGATTTGCCGGGACTCGTGGTTCCCCCGGATCAAGGTTATCCTGTCCGGGTAGCGCACCTGTGGAGCAAAGGGACGAGCATGAGGGTGATTCCATTTCTCAAAACTTCAAGAAATCTCTTCTTCAAAAACACATTTGTGAGAAACAAAATGTATATCAAGTGTACCTTAAGAGCTAGGAGAAGCAGGAACGTCTCCACACTGTAGAAGCCTCTGTCCACAAAGTCGCCCATGAAGAGGTAATTTGTCTCTGGGACGTCGCCACCCACCTATCACGTGAAAGGAATCCAGACCAAGTGGTTAAACAGTGTTTATGTACATTTACAGTGGGACCTGACCTGTATCAAGCTTGACCTGGCACCAGTTTGTCAGGAGTGCTGCTCAACAATACAGAGAAGGAGCCCAACAACAGACTCCATCAAACTACTAGAGCATGTTTGAGACCCACCATGCTACAAGACTTATCTACACCTCACTTCAGAATCAGACGTGGGCATTCTCATGACAAATCACATTAACAAAAACAAAACCTCCCTTTTCCACTTAGTGCAATATGATTTGGATGCAGCAGATATTTCAGCATCAAACAGGCAGAACAATGCCACTGAAGTACTTAATGGGCTGTCATAATTAACTGCAGCTGTAAATATTATCAGACTGAATTTGAACCCCCGGAACCCCAAAACCCTCCGGCAGGATGGAAAGCATGTTTTCTTTAAACAATCGCCAGAATTACACATTTGATCACAGTCAGAAGCTGTAAAAACTGTCATTATCATCAAATCTTCATCTTTCTGACAGTCTTTGAACACATCATGTGTGACAAACACTTCAGAAACTAAGCTTAAAAATGTGATATTTCAACAACATAAAAATGTATTCTACATGTCTCGTTTGAAATTTCACCCCAATTAAACAGTTTACACTAACCAGTTCCTGTAAAAAAAAACATTACATTCTACGCTCCTCAGCGCACCTTGGAAGCCATGATTGACTCGGCTGAAACTAACAGTCACGTGACAACAATTCCAGGAAACTTCGACTGAACTGTAGTCTGCTGAACACAGAGCATTGAGGAGAGGACAGCAGAGGTTGTAAAAATGCGAATAGCTCAATATATAAAGCACGTGAAACTGCTTGCAGTTCAGAGGGTTAAAGAGCGTTTGCATGTTTTTTAGGACATTGCTGATGGTGCACTGGTGTTATCACCATCTGCAGTGAAGTAAAGGATGACATTTCAAACACAATTATCAGGTTGCGATCATCATAATAGTATCATGACGAGCAAGCAGCTAATCGTTCTTTATGATGGCCGTTCAGTATTGTATATTCAGCGTGTTGCACTTGAATAATGTTAACGTGTTGAAATACAAATAAAAATGTGACAACCAAAGACCTTTACAAATCTGCGACATTAATCCCATCATTCGTGGAATTAATTTGCACGTCACTATATTTTTTTCAAGCTGCTGTGTTTCTCATGAATAATTTCACACAAAACCTGAATATTACGTTTGGGAAAAGTGACGAAATATTTTTTCAGAGCGAGGACAATTTTTCTGAGCTTTCGCACTGATAATAAAGGCATCAAGCAATCACGTTGTGAGGAAAGTACAGATTAAAACCTATACTGTACAACAACTGGGAGGCTCCTTATTACAAACCAAGACAGAAAAATGTATTACTCCTTTCAACCTTGACAAAGGCAGTGCAGACCAATTCCACTCCTTCCCTAGACATATAGACCACGTAACTGTTTGTCAGAGGGAACTTAAATTCACCAAGAGCGTTTTGCTAAAAGGAAACGATAATAAAGTTTCCGTCTCAGATAGACTGCTCTACGCTGTTCTGGGTCAATAGGTCAATTTTTCCCCCCAAGCCCACATAGTGTAAAGGCCTCAAGTCTGCAGTGACTAGTGTGTAAAAAGAAACGGAAACTTACTCTAAACAGCTCCTTCAAGTCATAGAACTGACCATGTATATCACCACACACCTATGAGGGAGAAAAAACAAACGGGAGAAACATTAACATTAATCAACTTTAAGTTCAATCCTAAGCAAACAAGAGCCAAAAGAAAAAGTGACTTACCGTGACAGGAGAGTCTACTCTCTGAACATTGCTTTCTTCCACCAAAATCTCTCTGAAAACACACATAGAAATAGGATGTCAACTTCCTGTTTGTAACTTATTTCACAGGGGGGGAGATACATCCCAGAAAAAGAAGAGCTCCAGCTGCTCCCGGATGTCATACTACCCACTCACTCCAAGCCGAAGTGGGTTCTGAAGAAAATTAAAAACGTGGGTATTGTCTTGTTTTTGTTTAATTGGTACATCATGGGGCATTCAAGAGTCAGTTTTATTGACATCGCATTTAGCATGCATTGTATCCCCCCTCAACATTAGTATGTGGTAAATACTGTATACAATATGTAGTAGAAGGACACAGCTTAATACATTGCTTTAAACTGCATCTTTGTGTGATGCATGGATTCATCTAGCAAGAGTCGAAAACGTCGGATGAAAGACTAACTTATTACCTGGCTTTGGCACACAGTGCTTTGACTTCGTTTTCTTTAATGAGCTCACAGCGTCTGAGCTGCTCTATCTGTCGGTCCAGGTCGCTGATGTCCCCCATTGTGACACACATAGGGAGAACTGCTCACACACACACACGCCGGGGTCAGTCCAAGAACTGGACAGCCACAACACACTCCTTCCTCGGAAATAGTCAGGGCCCTTTAACACCCGCACGTCCGCCTCTGGCTGGGAGGTTCAGAATAAGAAACTGAAATGGGGGAGAGAAAAAAGGCGTAACAATTCAACAACGAATTTGAATAACAGGCTAAACAATGCAACTTCATTGACATTAGCGGAGAAGCAGTTTTAGCTAACGTTTGCTAACCTAACTACTTGTTAACTTGAACTTGAGTTGCTAACTAAACGATAAGGTTATTTTATTCATAATAATGGGAAATTGACGTTGCGTTATTCGTTTATTGAACGTCACAGTGAATCCAGCTGAACAATGCACCAGAGGAAACTGACGTTATTCGTCCAGGAATGTGAGGCCTATGGGCGTAGCGAGCTAACCGTTAGCACGCTAGCTTACATCACTGCTAACGACGTCAACGAACAACTGATCTTTTGATAACTTAGACAACTATTTTGATTGGGAACTTGTCCCAATGGTTAACGCCAATGTCTACCAACTTCGTCCCGGAAAAACTGCACACGTTTAGCGTGTTAGTGAAATTAATTGACGTATTCAGCTTAGCTGCCGAAATGCTGTACGTTAGCTCGCTAACGACGGCTGTCGGGGCATCAGACGGCGTCAACACTGGCTAGCGCTTCTTGGCTAATGTGGCGAGCTCGCTAGCTAACGCTAGCAACACAGATCACAACGGATCACACAACGCCGCCAATTCGACGAAACCTGAGTAGGCGTACATACGGTTACATGAATGATATCAGAACGGCGGCAATCAAAACATATATATGTTTCATTCCAGGGAATTGATCCACCGGCTCCTCTTCGTCCCCCCCGGTAACTATCGTCTTTGCCGGTTCACTCCTGTCGTGCTCATGAACACGAACGACTTGACCGTAACTTCCGGTGTAGGGAACGCGCACTGCTCCGCGCAGCCTGGGTTGAGTGCGTGGAGAGGACAGTTGAATGAAATGAAGCGTGAATGAAGACGTAAGGAATCTAACGGTGAATTAAAGTCCCCCTCCAGTCAAAAATGTATTTTACAATCGTTACTTCACTGAAGTGGTTGGCCTTTACTTTGTGAATGCTGTAGCAGATCAGATCACAACCAGCAGGAAACCTGTGACGTAAAAGCTGAAGCCTCCAGTGCACTGAGAAGGGATTTCTCAGTGAAGTAGGAGATTATATATGAAAAGCAATATTTGTAATTTTATTTAAAGGAAATTTACCTTTCGTTGTGGAAAAAAACACCAGACAGAAATTATTATTCAAAGCAGAGTATTTATTTTTTTAAATAAGCATTTCTAAAGCAGATCTTTAAAGGTTATGTTTTGCTGCACAACCACATAATTCCCAAAATGAAGCTCAACTATTAGTATAATTATGTGAAAGCTTGAGCTGGAGAGATCAATAAAGAGAAAATTGTCAGAAATTTTGATAATTGATTAATCGCTTATGTCATTTCTCAAGAAAAAATACCCAAATTCCCCTGGTTTCAGCCTCTTGCTTGTGATAATCTGCTGCTTTTCTCTGTGATAAAAAACTGAATATTTGGGGGTTTTGGACGGTTGTTTGGACATAATGAGCAATATGAAGTCACATTGGGCTTTACGGAATTATAATGGACGTTTTTTCACTATTTCCTGACCAACAATGAGTTGATTAATCAAGAAAATAATGAGCAGGTTCTTTGTTAATGACAATAGTCGTTAGTTGCAGTCCTAATGGCTTTGAATGAAAGCTTTGATATAATAATCCAAAGGTAGGGGGCAGATGTGTGTGTTTGAGAGACTTGCTAACAGACGGTCCAACTTTATCATCATCACGTTGTGTCATTTCAAATGACCAGCAGCAACAATCACAGTATCCTGCTGGCTAACTGAATAATGAGAAAAACACATTCTGGAATTGCACTTGCAAATTTATTTACATTTTGTATTTTACATGATAATTAACCATTTTCTGTCAAATTTTTAAGCCTTTGATTCACACTTAAAATATTTAAAAAAATGAAATTTAAAAAAAGCACAGGCTTAAAAACCCAATCAGTAAGTTGCAACTAAGTTCAACAGTAGCAGCGTAATACAACATGAAGGTTGTAGGTACAATTTCAGTAGGAATGTGCACGTTTAAGAGAAAACAGGCTGTGTGTATATGGACAAAGTACATGATTATAATAATTACTAACTGTATAGTAATATTGAGATTTTTGGAACAAAACATGTTCTTGGGATATTAAGCTCATGGAGTCACGTGAAAAAAAACAAAAAAAACAGAACCTATGTTCCTAGTTTACCATGTGTTTTACTTCTAAATCATGATGCAGGAAGTGTTGCTAAGAAATCTCATTAGACTTCTACTTTTAGGTCTGACAGCTGCCAAAAACGTGGGAGTATGAAGGTGGAAGCCCCCCCCAGTGGATCCTTTCATTATTAGACATCAAAGGGAAATACAGTCAACACCTTCTACAACACACTGGCGTAATATAGGTTTAGTTGTATAACCCAGACTGTGATATAGCATCCGTGACTATATACAAATATGTAAACTATTACCAAGATATGGTCTACATTGTTTTGACATTTGCAACTGATTATTATTTGTATTTATTTTCCTTTTTATACTGGTATATATAAATATATTTCAATATTCCATTTTTCTTCTTTTTTTTTGTTGGTGTGTTGGGTTGTCTTATGGGCTGGAGGAAGGGAGGCGGGGTTATTCTAAAGACTGGAGGGGAACATAAGAGCCCTTTGTCGGGCAGTCGATGAATATAATAATATACGAGTGCTTATGATCCATGTGCAGTATTACAGATGGATGTTAATGCTATCCTCAGTCTAACCACCAGTATGGAAAATTTTAAATTGCATCACAAAAAATAAACCATGTTGACAGGCATACCCTGAAATATGTCCCTATTGTCGATTGTTGCGACACCCTTTCACTGACTTCATTTAAAATAATAAGCATTGATGTCTGTTATCTCCGGTACACCGTTCTAGTAAAAGGCAAACAGTTCCAGTCACTGAGAAGCTAAACAACATAACAAACACATGTCAGTCAGCAATAACCCGATTGAAGAATACACAAGGCACTATGAAACTATTTCATCTTCTAACCTCTGGATCTCCTCGTTCAAAGAGGAAACTCTGTTACCATGACGCCAAAAATGAATGTCATGGGGCTGTCAACAGTCAGTACTTTTTGGTGGTGTTCAACATCAAAATGTAATAACGGCGTAACAGAGATTAAATATGAAACGTCTCATCATCGTCACACAAGTGTTGTTGTGTTGTTAAGTGGCACTAGGTCATGTTGTGCAAAGGCAGTGAGAGGTAAACACTTAACATCATCATAAATAATAAGTAAAGGTCAGTAAAATGACTGTTATCTTACAGGAATATATTGAAGTATTCTCTTCAAACTATGTGATAAAAATACGTTAGGTGGTATTTAAAAAAAACTAAATGTTGCAAATATTCGGATGATTAAATAAACGCTTGGTTGCTCTGAGATGTGTGTTATAATCGTTCCGCATTTCTTCATCTTGTGGACCCAAACCGGACGTTGACCTATTATTTCTGCACAATCAGTTTTATAGTCTCTTAGTGCAGTTTGTGCAAACGAGCAAACTCCAAACACATGGATTGGTTAAGGACACTTTTACCGTGCCTTCCTGTTGAAAACCGCTCGTCATATTTTCATGTAGGAGTAAAGTCTCTCTTTGTAAATAGAACACACCCACGTCCTGCTTGTTCACCCTGCTGGTCGGTGTGTGGGCTGAGGTCAGAGGGAGCAGAAGTATCTGTGGACGGGGAATGCGGTGATTCCGGCCAAAGCTATGCCCAGACTGTCTCCTACGCTGGCGGCGGCCATGGCGAACTCCCTGTGTCTGTCTCCGGTCTGTGGGGGACAAAAGACAGACGTCAGGACGGACACACACCGAGACCTTTAACGCAGAATGATGAAGGCATGGCTGCAGGAGGAGGGCGATGAACCGGAGAGCGTCTGTCTCCACGGTGAATCATCTGTTGAGGATAAAAGATACAACACCGCCGCTCTCTCTTCCTCTCGTCTTTAAAAAAAAAAAAAAAGAGTCAAGAAGCCGACAGCAAAGCCTAACTTTACTTTTAATGTTATCAAATTAAGAGAAATGCTCTGCACTTCCTTGTTTTATGAACAAAGTGGTACATAAGTTGAAGCAGCAGTGCTGTGTGTGTGTGTCCAATCAGCGGTGGTTATCCCTGCAAACCCCACCCTGAAAGTTGCACCCTCAGACTCAACCAGGGACTTTTTGTGGCTTAAAATGTCCCCGGAAGCTACTTTTGACTCTGGACAGTGAGTTCCTTAAAAGGTTCCTGGTCCCTGAGGACAGTTCCTGTGATCAAAAATTATTGTTGACTTACAATAATTCCCCGGAGACTTACCCTGATCATAACCATTACTTGCCTAATTCCAACCCTAACCCTAACTTTAACTTAAACCTAAACCTAAACCGTACCTTAAACCAAGTCTTAACACCAAAAAATAAAGCCTTACATTTTGAGGACTTACATTTTGTCACCAAAAGAAAGGTGAGGCCCCACAATGTGACTGTGTAAACAGATGTATGTCCCCACAACGTGAGTAATACACATACACACACACACACACACACACACACACACACACACACACACACACACACACACACACACACACACTTTTTTGGATTGCACCTTTCATACATAAAATGCCGCTTAAATTGATTTACAGTTTGGCATTAAAAACAAAAATATGCAAAAAATAAGTTCATAAAAATAGAAAAAAAGATCCAATAAAAAGGAGAAATAAAAGCAGTAAAAATGGTAGTAGAAAAAGACAAAAACATAGTACATAAACTAGACGCCTGCTGACATAAGTAGGTCCTCAGTTGATTTTTTAGAAATGTCAACAGAGCTCTCGCTGGACCGGGTGTTCCAGAGTCACGGAGCGTCGCAGGTGAAAGCACTTTGCCCACTCGTTTTGTGTGCTACTTTAGGAACAGATAATCAGAGGGCTCTTGTTGGCTGATAAGGAGTTAAAACGTCCAGAATGTAAGAAGATTCTGTATCATTAAGAGCTTCATGTGTGAGTAAGAAGGCCTTGAAAGAAAAGGGGAGCCAGTGCAGTATTAATGTGCTCTCTCTTTTCCTTTCCTTAAACGTGTGGCAGCAGAGTATTCGAACCAGCTGAAGTTTTCATCTCAACTTTTTGTTTTGCCACTGAAAAAGCATTACAAAAGTCCGATCTGCTGCTAATTTCTCAGCATTCCAGATGACTGTACATTCAGCGGCTATCACCTGTACATTCAGCGGTGATCCCTTTCACTGTGCCGTATCTTTTGAATGCCGTGAAGCTCACATCAGTGATTCAACACCTCCTGCAGATGTTTCTCTCAGTGTGAAACATGTGCAGGAAGTATTGACCTTCATTACACTAACTTGAAACGATAAACGTAATGTAGAAGCAGTAGAGGGGGGAAAAAGAGGCAAGTTACGCCTGGAAGTGTTACGTTTGCATTAACAGCTGCTTTCATCGACACATGGATACCCTGAGACAGAAAGTGGACCTGACCTCCTTGCTGATGAAGTAGAAGGTGTTGACATACGCAGCTCCGCCCAGCAGGCCCTCGTAGAGGACGATAACGAACACCAGCCAGAAGCTGGGCAGGAACTGGAAACGCACTGCGAACAGGAGCAGCACCGCGTTCACCACCTGCGGGGGGACGGGAGAGAACGGAGCCTGGTGATCAATGCTTCGTTACAAAACGTGGGTCAGCGGTCACAAGTTGAACCTTTAGAAGTGATGTTGCACCTTATGGCGAGCTATCTAAAATAACCATGCTAATGTAAGCTAATGCTTGTGATGGCGATTTGGCTATTTTCCACTCACTGTTGATCTGATACCGGGGGCGTGTTTGAGACCATGACTGTACAGAGGAGCGCCATTGAGGCATTTTTTAGAAAAACAAGATGGCGGCAGGTGATTTGTTCTATTGAACAAACTGGACGGAATATTTGCACTAAAAGAAGAACAATCAGATGCACTCAAATGCACAATATGTCATTTTCACTCTCTCAAAGCTCTGTTGGATCATGTGACAGATCATGTGACACCACGAGTGCACACAGGTGGACTTAACTTCTTATGTGATTCTGAAGGTAATCGGGAGCACCAGATCGTATTTAGGGGCTTCATAACCTATTTTGACTATTCTGTGTAGGCCTGTTACATTAAATCCAAATTTTGTCATTTTAATTCCAGGTTGTAGTGCAACAAAACAGGAAAAACACCAAGGGGGGTGAGCCCCTTTTGCAAGGATCTGTATTAAAGTGAAAAGGTTTTTACAGAGGGAATTTTGATCCATAATCCAGGCGAGTCTTGTGTTTCATCAAAACATCTCTTTGTACTTTATTTCTCACCTGAAGCACAGAGAGAGCCCACAGATTCTTGATCTTCACACAGCACAGCGACGACCGAGACACCAACACGCCAACTTGGTACAGCGTCTGGTACCTGAGCGCACACACGATCAATAAGTCAGTTTGAACTGCACGTCCTGAGACAACTTAAATAAAGTCGTTCCTTCAGAGTAATGTTCTAGTGAGGAGAACTGACCAGCGGTACTGCTCTGCATGGGACAGGAAGAATTTGGGGAAATACAGGAGCTCCATCTGGGAGAGGAAACGTCGACATTGTTGTGAGCTCAATATTATCACAAAATCGTCTGTATTTCTAACAACATGCAGTGAGATGAATGGGAGGCCGAGGGGGGGCACCGGAGGACTCACCAGGCCCTGGTTGATGAAGTACTCAGCGAAGTAGACCAGTCCCAGGGGGAACATGAACCTCAGCAGGCCCTGCTCACAGGAATCAAGTGAAGTAAAAGTACAACCAGGCAAATACCAGACGAATAGAGAATACTTTTTAAACTTACTTTGATGACATGAAGTTTCTCTGTGAAGGCGAGCGGTCCGGCGGTCCTGTCCTCTGCTGTATTGAAGGGGAGGAGAACAGGTAAGCTGTACTTACAATACACTCGCATCACCACAGGTTCTCTGTGTCATAGGTCAGATCATGAGGAGTGAAGGGATGATCGACGGTTGTTTTTTCCTGTAACGATATTGAGGCGATTTTAACCGACTTCAGCTTCATTTACACTGGAAGCCGGCGTGAGGCGCACATGTGTGTGTGTGGTCCGGTCCGCAAGTGGTCTCTGCGCTTGGTCGTGCACCTCTGAACTTTTTGTGACTTGGCGTGCGATCACGTGACTGTCACAAATAGTTCACTGATAAAAACACTATCTACATGTCTAAGGATTCTACAAAGAAAGACAATTAGTTTTTAGATGCTTTAGAAACAGGTGGTAAAAATCTTCTTTTGAGTAAATATTTTGCAGCCGAATCAAATAGTTTACAGGATATTCAGCCTTTGTGTCTTTGTAATGCATTAAAAACTTGACTTTTTACAGGGCTTGTCTAAAGGCAATAAAGTAGTCCGTGAATATGAGCTTTGATTGAGTTTTTTTTTCTTTTCAAATAAAACTTCCAATGTATGTCGTCAGATTTGATGTCATGACACCACACACGTGGTGTCATGTGCTAAATGTGCTAAATGTAATTCATGGTGCTGTTAGATTGCTGTAGACCGCCCCGCTAACACAGGCGTGTGTCTTGCTGCTGAAAGAGTTTTACAAAGACTTAATGCAACAAATATGGATTGAAGCAGAGTATTCCTGTGAGATCAAAACAATGTGAATTTTGGAAATTAATACATCCATCGTTTTGTAATAAATGTTGACATTTTGAACTGAGAGCTGCGTCACTCGCATTGTGTGTGTTTGAGAGAGAGAGAGAGTTTCTGTAAGTTATTAATAATAATAACAATATGAATGTCAACGTTATGAATAAAGCTTTGATCTTTTGGGTACAGGTTATGGACTGATTTGGATTGAAACATATTAAAGATAAAACATTGTTGAACGGAACGCGGCGCTGTGACATTGTGGCATGAAGAGCAGACACGTTGAGCTGTTTGAATAGAAGACACATTGTTATTAATGTTTTTAATGTTCAGATAAATAATATGTTCACACTCTTTTAGAAATGTTTATTGGCATAACTTTAACTGTGTTTAAAGGTTTAGAGGAATAGTCCAAAGAACGTGCATGCCGTCAGACTAAGTAGCCACGCTGAGCACATAGAATGGAAACTGCTGACCTAGCAGTATCAGAGCTATCTGTATTAATTACACACTGAGTTTAAAGTGTAAATATCGGTTTTGGAGTTCAGTTTTCACCGCTGCACAGAGCGGATAACATCTGTTTCTCCACACAAACCCCCCACACAGATTCCTGTGCGTGTCCAAACAAACCCAGAGAAAACTATTGGGGCCTTTGATGTATCAGACCTCACATCTTACCACCTTTTCACTGATGATTAAAAAAAGTCCACGTGTCTGATAGAATGACTGATTTAAAGTTTGAAGAGCACATGTCTTCATTGCTATCTGATTGCAGCAATGCGCTGCGACTAGGCCTTCCAACGTGTTGCTCAACTGCAGCTAACGCAACACAACATATGTCGATGTGCTTCTGAACTCTTTTTAATTCTTCCTGGATTCGTTCACTGTGTTTTCTTTATGTCAAATGACTATTGATCGCACTGTGTTTCTGTCGTTGGCCTCGATGTACCTGGTGTTGACTTCTCCTGCTCCTCTTCCTCCGACTCATCCATCAGCGCCCGTCTGTCCTCTGAGCCCACAGCCGTGTACTCCGTCTCCCTGACCCTCCACTGAGGCAATGAAGGCGGGAGAACCAGCAAGAGGAAATAGCTGGTGGTGGTGGTGTTGGGATAAGCACAAAATAACATAAATACAAAAATAACAGCCGGGTTTAAGAAAGCCAGGACTGAAAGCAGGGTTGAATTGATTGGCCAAAATGATGGTCTACAAAGTAAAATAGTAAACAATAACAAAGTTTATAAAGAGTAGTCTCTCTCTTTGGATTTCTTTCATATTTACTGTTAATTAAAAAAAAATCCTAATTACATCCACTGTGATTCAAAAGCATAAACCAAAACGTGAAGAAGTGCAGCAGCTATTGTAACTGTGCAGCTCCGGCTGTCCATAGAGTGAAATATGTGCCATGCATGAGCACAAGAATCTGTCCATCTATACTGTGTCTGTACACACGCATGTCAGAACGTAAACTAAGATGAAATGGGACCATATTTGGTCTCATATCGTAGATGCTCATCAGCTCTCTTATCTTTGCACCTCCGCACACTCACCTAAGCAACATAGCGACCGGCACCACCAGCATGAGGAGAAGCGTGACCTGGGGAGACAGGCCGGCTTGAGTGAGGATCGAGTAGAGGAAGGCTCCGGCCACTCCGGCGCCGCCGGTGCCTGAGCCCCAATATCCCAGCATGTCCCTGAAGCGACAGGGGGGGGGGTTGTGGATAGTTAGGAAGTGTATTTAATAAGGCCGATACGTTACAAAAGGTAGGCTGTTTCAGTGGAGAGACCGTTTCAAAAGCCTCTTCCTTCAAGGTTCCTCTGACATCAGGGATTTCACACTCAAGTGTCAAAAATAACCCAAATTCATTCACACAATTCTGAAATCAAGAACGTCAGATTTTCCTTTAAGGTCTCTAGAAAAAAAACAACTTTTAAAACAGAAAGAAAAGGGTTCAAAGGTTAGAAATATTACAAATTCAAACACCCATGGCAAGTAAAAAGTATAGGAATTTAAGTCATTTACATTTGCTGTAAATTAAATAACGTGTTTAAAAGCATACTGCCTGTCTCTAACATGTTCTCAGTTATTACAGGTTTTTTGAATTATTATCGTCATAATAGAATGCAGTCCTGTATAAAGTCATGTTGTTCGAGCCAGGTTCCATCAACAGACTAATAAACCTTGCACTTGAGGTACTTCTGTTGCTGGGAGAAGGTTGTGTGAGCCCAAGGATGGATCAAGTGCTTACCTGCTGAAGTAGACGGTGAGAGAGAGGAAGGACAGTTCTCCCAGTCCAGCGCCGATACTGGCGAAGATCACACCTAGGAAACACAGCGGCAGAGCGGGAAGGACAGACGCTGGTGAGTGATCACAGAAGGCTCATCGCTTCGTCCGACAAGAGAAGAAGAAGCACATTTAGACTCTAGTGTTTCAACCTGTGGCTCACTTTCATGGCTGAAATGGACCTTCATAATATTAGATCCACTAATTCCACAAAAACAAAACTGTCCATGGAAGGTGGTAACGCTCACACACTTAACATTTGCTCAGCTGACTCAGCGGTTTACAAATCACTCATTTATTTCTACCTGTATGTAGTTAGTGGAATTGTTTGCTCGATCGCAAATTGAGATTTCGGACATTTCCACAATCATCATCATATTTGCGCAAATGGTGCACAGAGAGTCGGAGCAACAGGGGTTGTAAATAGGGGCCCTTGGGGGCCTCCTGTACTCCTTTTTACACAAAGGCAGTTCCATTTTTTAAACAAAACCAGAGATTCCGCGTGGACGAGAAATCACAGCAGCGTGTTGCTACTTTGCATTGTGGTCCTCGACAGGAGTCCAGCATAAACTCGAGGGAGCTTTGCTCCTTTTCATGTATCGAATGCGTGTTTGTGATTCAAGCAGATCACGAGTCTCACAAACTATAGTAGTATATATATATATATATATATATATATACACACACGTATACACACATTAGCGGTGCCTGAAAGGTTATTTATACCAGTAATTTACCAGTTTTAGATTTGTTTGCTACAGACTAAGAGTATGTAAATACATAAACATGACCTCAAACATCAGCTCACTGATCAGTCCTAGCATGGGGATGAAAAACTTCTAGCAGCAGGTCACGATAAGACTAACATGGTATCATAATCATAATTCTGCGGAATAAACCGCAGCTGCAACCAACCGTTCAGATAAGAGGACAGGAAATGAAAGTGAGCAGATATTAAGATGCATCTAATCCGTCATCAGAATGCTTCACAGTTCCACCACCAAGAAGAGATAAATATATTAAGAGCTCTGAGAAAAAAAAAGAAGCGTTTACCTAGAATGCTCATCCACACGGCTGAGGAGAAGGACACGAGGAGGAAACTGGTTGCTGCCATGATGGTGCAGAACAACACTCGGAAACTGGAGAAACAAGAATTAAAGAAGTATATTCACAACACAGTACAATACTCATGTAGTACACAAACATAACAGGGCCGTGCTTTTATTTGGAAGGTCTTTCAGCTCTATTCACTCTCCAATGACTTAGAGACGGCCCTGTATACAAGTGTATATAAAGAAAGAGATGAAAGACCACCAGGTAAGACACACAAACACCTGAGGTACAAGTACCAAGGACGTGTTTCAGGTTTTAAAAAGGAGAATTAGTTTTTCATGCACTGGTCGATTTTAAGATTCTGGTCTATTTGGTTTCCATATCACGTCTTCTTACAAACGAGTGGAAAGAAAACATCCAAAATACATATTTAGGTCTTTATTTTACTACTTTGTCTGTTTGCGTCTGTAGATTTCTCTTAAATTCACCAGAAGTTAGCATTAGATAATGACCCATTTGAATATTTAAACATGACATTTCAAAAGACTTGTAATACAATAACTAATTGTCTTAACGTAAGTAATGAACTGGGGAAGTTTCATGGTGATATCTATTAGTTATGTTTTTTAGCCTACTCACCTGTAGTGTCTTCAACATGTCGGTCATTTTACTAAACATCTCTTTAAAGGACGTTTTCTCTAAATGAGTTTTTTCTCAGACTGACCAATAAATCTCTTCAGCAGCTCTTACATACACCAAACTTTACACTTTCATTCCTCTCTATATGCAGAAGGTTTTTACAGAGGGGTTTGTTCATTTATCATTCATAACCTTATTTATACAATATTCTATTCCTAAAGATGTGTTGTTTTTTTATTACTGCTGACAGTATTCTCTAATTTATGGAGCGATACTAAGAGATATCCAAAATCCCCTCGGTAAAATCCTTTCACTCTAATTTGCCTACTACATGAAACAAGAACCTGGCTTCATCCAATGTTCACATTTATCTTCTGGAGATGGATGCAAATTAGCACATATTGCATTTTTCATCAAACATTTTCAGAAAGCTTGTCATACAAAAAATGATTTGTCTTAATGTAAGTAAACAGCTGGGGAAGTTTCATGCCGAACTCCATCTCTAATCTTGTTCTATTTCTATTTACTTCTATATTACTTATTTTAAAGTAATCAAAAAACAGGAAACAATGTCTTTGAGACTTTGACCGTACGGTGCTCAGTGCTGTGTCCCTGATTTAGAACATAATGTTTTTATTCTACTGACCAATCATGGCGATTAAGAGCTAAATAAAAGCCTAAATAGTTTCTGTCACATGTGTGGATGATTGCATAGAATAAGATAATAGTGTGCTTGTTTTTGCTCAGTTTTGGCACAAGGTGGTGATTACTGTATGCACTTTGATCCTGGCTCATTTCACATTAAAAACACAATTGTTATGCACTATTTACTATTTCTTAATTAAGAGTGCCCCCAAAATGTGTAAATGCCCCAACAGGTAAAGACAACAGGTAAACATGGAAGAAGAATTTACATCGACCAGGGGAGCATTTTTCTCCACTATATTCCAAATGGGCCTTCATTTGGCTACCATTTAAAAATTGACTGTAACAAAAAGTAAGACGAGACACTAAAAGTGACCACCACATTAAAACTAAATGTTTCTGTGTAACACTAAATGATGGGACGACTGTTGGATGTGTCAAATATGGAATATTCTTGATTTTCTCATTAACCAGTGAGACCTATTTCCTTACCCATAATGCAGTTTGTGGATCACAAAGGGAGCAGACAACTTGATGGCGAGCGTTGGGAGGATGTCAGCTAACAGCACAGCCTGAGGAGAGAAGCATCGGAGCCGTCACTCAGACCAAAGGTCCTCTTTGAAAGCATCAGTGTTCATATGTCAAACACATATTAAGAAATGCTGAGGGGAAAATAACATTTATGTTATAGTACAATCCCTTACTTTCTGTGTTCACGCCTCACCGTGTCATTTAGCCTCATAACACCGTGGCATTCTGCCGTACTGGCAGCTGAATAGACTTTCCATTCCGGTACTTTCATTTCTAGTTTGTCATATTAGTTTCAGTACCCGTTTACTCATCTTAGTTTTTGCTCGCTTCAGAAAAGAGCGGATTTAAAGAGGAACTAATCCCCAGAGTTTTGGCTAAAGCACCTCTACCCTGGAAATTCAAAGAACGTGAACTAACCATCAACAATGGCGGTGCTGGGGGAGGGCTTGAGACACGCCCAGTCACGTCTAATGCTTCTGTGATTGGCTAGAACTCGTTGCCGTTGTCTTTGGCTCATTTTCCTCAACCGAGGTAGCATTACAATCCAGTGACACCTTCACTCATGTAGCTGCTGGCTAGCTTGTCAATTCCACCATGCTGTAATGCTACAGTTACAGAACATACACAGCCCCACATGAACCGCCCAGCTTGGTCTACATTATTTTGACATTTGGCCGGACTTAACTGTTTTAAAATGACCGCTCATGATAACCGTTACCCTTTCAATTTGTTTATGCTAATTGCTAGCATGCTAATATTGTTATGGTTATGGTTAGGTAAGAGTGCTGCAGAGGGACTGTTATGGTGGCAAAATACAGTATAAACATTTTAATTTATACATCATCATTCAAGTGCAAGATCCGGGTTTCAACCAGTAGCATATTATAACACAATGTGTAGAATTCAAATACTTTGCACTAAAATGGACCTGAACAACACGACTAAATAGCGTTGCTTTAAAGTGAGAGAAAGTAGTTCCGGGGTTTAGCTAAAGGACAGTCTCTCCACTGCTAAAGGACGGCTGAGGAAATGTTGCCAAAATACAGCAAACATCTCTTTTGTGAGAAGCTAATAAATCCCTGTCAACATACAGACTGGTGAGGGTTATTCCCTGTTGTGTAGTGAATATCCATTTACCGCAGTGGAGACAGGATTGCAGTCATAGCGGCTACTGTTGCTACTGTTTCCCCCTTGGAATTCCACGGCCGATGTGGCTGAAGTCTATATATACATATAGGGAAAGAAAAAAAGGTAAAAAAGTGAATAACTTTCTTCTCGCGTGAAGTCTTTTCTTATATTATAGCTTCAAGCCATACAAGGGTTGCTGCAAGAGACAAAATATAAATACAAATGTGCCTTCTTACAGGTAACGTGCCGTTTTGGGACTCTTGTTTTTGGAGGATGTCGTGGGCAGCGCTCAGCATGACCACATACGCAAAGTTGTTGCACAATCCAAGGAGCCTGGGGGGGGGGGGGGGGTAATCAGAAGAGCAGGTGAGATAAGTCAGGGTCAGCAGCAGATTAAGACGCATCAATAACTAAGCCTGTGAGTTTCTCTGTGAGTAAGAAGTCAATAGTACACGCCAAACCTCTTAATGCATCAGTGATTAATGTGGTCTTTACAAGATGTTTTCCTACATAGAAAAGTAATTCAGATTTGACGAATAAATTACAAATATACATGCACGCATAGCTTAGACTTCAATGTCAACATTTGACAATGGACTGTTTTACTGATTCATTGGAATATGATACCCTGCTCTAATATTGATTTAGAAAGGTACACTTATTACTTAAGCGTAATGTGAATTGGTACCTTTTGCTACAATCAGCACTAACTAGACATTCAACAGATTGCAAAAAGTATTTGTAAATAATAAACAAAACAGCATTTCTTTCCTCCTCGTGTTGTCGTATATTTCAAGTCAACAATGATCTGAAATAGTTTGTGACTTATGTATTTAAGTTATCAGGAGCCTTTCATTTCTTCACATCAAATAGAAAGCTTCCTTTTGCTTGAATGGGAACGTGTGGATGTAACGTTACTAATGCTAACAGGAAGCTGTGGGCTTCATTGGTACTTTAGCGCTTAGCTAACTCGTTTCATTTAGATTTAGTTAATCCTCGTTTACATTTGTCACCTTGTACAATGCAACACATTCAGCATAAAAAGATGGCGGCATCAGTTTAATAGTGTTTGTCTCAATAAACTTCGGTGTTTTTTCCACCGTGGTTCTTAAAAACAGTTTAAGCTTATTTAAAACAAATAGGACACTCACCAAAATCCACTCCGGTTGCGCCATTGTGTGCAAGTACCTACAACCAACAGATAAACAACACCTTTAGCGACTCTCACAACAAGTATAATGTACTTTGATATTTATCAGTCGAGGGAAACGAACTGCTGACTCACCGTTAGTGTCAGGGCGTTGAACGGGCTCTGCGTTGACGCTGGCCGTCTGCTCCATGTTTACACAACAGCGCACGAGACAACGAACCGAACTACGTCACCGTTACCGGGCTAACGTTGGTACCGGGCTAACGTTGGTACCGGGCTAACAGTTAAAACTACTTAAAATACATCGTAGAGTCAACCAGCTCCCGCGGTAGATTCACCACTGTGTTTTCTACGCTCCAGCCAGACTGTACAGAAGTAGCTGACATCTTTAACTCAATTTTAACGTCGTACGTCGCACCAAAACGCGGTGTTTCATAAAAATAAGTTCTCGCTGAAACAAAACCCACCCCCAAACGTTCCCACTCGGTGATGCTATTTAGGATACACATTTAGCTGGTTAATTTCACGTTTATTAGCACGTTACAGTATTTTGTAATATCAAAAAGACATTACTTTAAAATAATGTTTTAGTTATTACTTATTTGTGGCTTTTAAGGCAGCACTTATTATATGTAATGATGAAATTATGACTTGAAATTATATTAAAACCTGCTTGTGAATGAATCATTTGACAGTTAATGAATGCTTTATAACACGGTGAGGATTTATTCATGAGTGCTATCATACAGATATTATACTGAATTATCAAGTTTTCATTATTTATGGACCCTCATGGATGCTTCACATGCTTTGTATGAGTTGTAATTGTTGATATATATATTTTTAATTAACAGTAGAAATGTATTTAACAAAATGAATCAGAACTTTCAAATGTCCCCATATTTATATTTATATATTTCAACTACATTCTAGCACATTGAGTGTTTGTACGCTGCTCATAAATGTTCAATTGGGAGGTTCAAATAAAGTGTTACGCAACAACCTAAAGGACTGAATTAAGAAAAATAGTCTGAGCATCAGGTAGACAAAATATGAATATGAATACAATGATAATGATATTCTTGTATCATCATTAGGGTCAGGACAGATGGGCAATACATACAGTACTCGGCTATGTTCATACATCATACTTTACATTAATATACTTTGCATTAAACTAAGCATTAATGCATCAAAAGCATCCAAACTGTTCACTGCTTACTCAACCTTATCAACTTATAAATCTCTGAGATGCATTTTAAGTTAAAAGTAATATATCTCTCTGAAATGAGGTGAGGCAAAAATACAGAGCCTTTAGTGGAAATACTCAAGCAAGCTATCGGTATCTTACTTCACAGTACTTGAGTAAAAGTACTTTTCCACATGTGGTCCGAGATGAAAAGGTTGGCTGATAGTGCTGATAAGAATTTGATAAAGCTGCAGCCTGCAGAGACACCGCTTCACTCCATCGGCAGCCATGGCCTTCGGTGCACTTCTTGCTGTGCTGGTACTGATCCACAACACTGGAGGTGAGAAAGACTAACATGAGAATATCATTCTGTGGTGATTTATCTGAACTCAATTAGTGGAGGTTGGGGAGTAAGACGAGGCATAGAAAGTGTGCGTTAGCCTGGCTCTGTCCATTTAAAACATGAACTCACAGAGAGCATCTGTCGTTTGGAGTTTTATTGCAAATTCACATTTGAAAATGCAGATGTCCTTAAACACACCGTGGTTTGTCCTCTCGGGAATTAACAGTCGAAGGCTTAACTTCCCGTCTTTGTTTCTGAAAACATTGGCTTAAACATATGACATAATCATAAGCTAATAGTTTTAACCTGCCTATTAATTATGCGTTAGATCTCGTTTGTGTAATCCATATTGACGGATCCGTAAAAAGTAACACATTGTAAAAGCAAGGTTGCCTGGCAATCTCATGGAGGAAACAAGATTACTTCTCAGTGCCAAGAAGAAGTCTGTTACATAACCCCCGTAAAAGTACAAGAGGTCACTTTTACTCTTCCGTTTTTTTGGAGGGATTAAATAATAATAATAATAATTAGTGGGATGGTGGATTTTGTTACCCTCTAACCGAACCAGGCTGTTTTATGTTTTAAGTCATCATGCTAAGCTACGCTAACTGGGTGCTGACTGTAGATTTATATTTACTGTACAGATATGAGAGTGATATATCAATCTTCTCATCTAAGTCTAAGCAAGAAAGCAAATAAGCCTATTTCCTAAAACTCAATTTAACCAGAGATGATATTTGAATTTTTCAAATACACATCTTGGTGAAATATCTGTAGATCAGTGGAATAGTGTGAAACCAATTGACTGGACCGTGTCTCACATGTTCTTTACGTTAACTCTCACGTTACGTGATTTACATGGTTTCATTATTGTTTTTTTTTAGGTTTCCTTGGGGCCGAGGTGAGGAGCTCCATCATCGGGGGGCAGGATGCTCAGGAGAACGACTGGCCGTGGATGGCCCACCTGAACATATCTAATGGTGACAAGAGGTGGCGCTGCGGCGGCACCATCGTCGCCCCTAAGTGGGTGCTGACTGCTGCAAGCTGCTTGGACACGTAAGTATGTGTGTCGGTTGTAATGAAATAACTGTGCATATGTAATTATTGAAATGTAATAAAAGCTCATAATGTAATTATCAGCACATAATGTAAGAAAACCATGAGCGCATAAGGTAATAACAGTTTTGTGGTCTAATGAAAACATTTTGACACTTTAAACTAAGCAAAGAAATTGTTCAGGCATAGCGTGTTACTTTGCGATTTAAAAAAAGGCATTTCCTTTTTCTTTTTTGTAGTATGGTAACCCTTCTAACATTGTATTAAATACAGGTTTCCAAAGGCATATTTACTCTTAAGCCAATGTTTATTTTGTAACGTGTTCGACAAGATTTTACAACCAGAAACAACAATTTTTTTTGCAAGGATCATGTTGGTTTATAATTCCCATAGTTGCAGTATTATAAATATGTTATTATAAGTTCCTATTATTATAATGGTCACTGTTTGCTTTTAGTAAAGTGGAAAAACAACATTAAATCTATTCAAGAACAACACAAAACATTGCGTACTTGACTTTACTTAAAGACAACAATGACCACTTAGAGTATTATATAATCATATTATAATGCATTATAAAAGAAGATTATAATGTATTATAACAATGGGAACTATAATACACGATAATACATTAAACTACTTGACCGTATAAATCAATGTAAGTTGCTTTATAGTGCGTCATGATTATAGTTATTAAGCATTATGAATATCTATGAGCGCTTATAACAGTGCTATAAGTAGATTACACATTACAAGTATGTTTATAAAGCATTATAGACACGGGCGTCATAGAAAGTGCTACCCAATAGTTTCCCCATGTAGCATGTACACAATCCATGCCCTCATCCATCTTAACCCAAAAAAGCTGCTTCACACAGAAGGCGAGGCCACTGACTGGTCTGAAAGAGCTTTGGGGTTGTCCAATGACATAATGTTGTACATACTGTGAATTTGTTTTTGTTTTTTTTCTTCATATCCTCTCTAGTTACAATCCTGTAACCTAGAATGTTAGCATTCTAGGTTTAAAACCTTTTTTTCCCACTTGTCAT